ACGGGAAAAAGGTAAAATGTCAAACATCTGCTTCCATAATATAAATATCATTAAATAACTTTAGAAAAACTTCCACTTGACTCTTTACATGTAATGTTGTAAAAATATATATTTTATTGTTTAATTAATCTGAAAATGTTAGTCTGCCAAATGTGCAGCAATTGAATTTCTTTATTCTCTTCAGCTGATAGTTGGTGGGGCCCAGGTAGACTGTATAACTGCATCTCTACCAGTTTCTCTGCGCTCCAGCCTCCTATGTGCCATGTGAAGGGATTTTCCTTAAGGCAGGAGAAATGATCTCCACGTAAAGGAACAGGTTCATCCATCGCACATTAGAACAAATTCTCTTTTTAAATAAAAATGAAAAAGGGTTACCTTAAATGCATCATGTTTTTAACTTGCAAGTTCATAAGCATTTTCCTTTTCCATTTCACAATCAATTCTACCCCCAGGTCAAAAATATGTCTGGGAAAATTTTCTTAATATAATATTATTTATAAATACACCCCTCCGGCGATTAATTGCATACCTGCATGGAGGCGGGACCTAACAGCAGAAGCATACTCCATAACGTGTTTTACATTATTATGTGTATATTATATGTAACGTGGTATTTTTCAATTATTGTATTTACTAACATGAAGAAGTCACAAGCAAAGAAAGACCACACCATGGTGCATGTTTGAACAAGGAGAGTTTACTGGTCAAAACTATTTATTAAACAAATAAACCACATTTTCTTAACCACCAAAAAATACACGTTCAAAGCAACACAACGGAGGCCCAATATCAGACAGAACTCCACTCTGTGGAGTGGGCAATCATAATGAAGCGGTTGGTTTTATTTTGTGGATTCAAGCTGCTCTTCATATTTTTGGCCACCAGATGTCACCAGAGAGGACTGAGTTGAAAAGCTTCGAGTAATGAACCGTTTTTCAATACAAGCTTCAGAAAGCTTCATTTGGCCATCACTAGGTGAGTGCAAACACATTTATCATCCACCACACCCATGAGACACGCCCCACACCCGTGCACCAATACAGTGAGTCCATTTAAACCAACCCATTTAGTCAAAAAGGAACAACTCATATGGCTCCTACACCACTGATTTCCTTTCCGATCCGATACCAAGTAATATTCAGGGTGGTATCGACGATACTGATCCGATACCGATACTTTGTACAAAAACGTATTTTTCTTTATTGTATCTCAAATTATAGTTTCATAATGATTACAGGACATCAGATTACTTGTTCTTATCACTTAATAATGCAGAGTTCATCATATAGAAATAAAGAACCTGAAGTTGTGCTATTTGAACACCTTCCCTGCCTGCACCTGTTGCCTCAACATATGCTCGTCATATTCTGTGATATAATTTACTCTGAGGTGTTTGACAAATCTGTGGTGTTGCCACAACACCTCACTTTCTTGCCACATGTATCGCAAACCACGTCTTGGCTGTTTGTGGATGTAAAATACGTCCGCACATAACTCCAATTACGCTCAGCCATTGTTGTGAGTGCGCACGCCAAGGGGCTGCGAGACTTTTATACAGCCTTATTTCGCACATGACTATGAAAGGTGGGAGAGGGAGTAGTTCCTTCCAATTGTAGACAATCCGAATGAAATAGTTTCTTTCCGCTGTGTTCCTGTTAATGATAAACTACAAATTTACCCTAAATTACTAAAATATCGATATTTTAATGTAAGAATCGATTCTAGAACATAGATGATTGATGATGATGATTGGTATCGGAGGAAATCGATATTTCAGTATCGATCCGCACATCACTATTGTGAATTATTTCTTGTTTCCGGTTTTATTGTGAAGGTCCGTGTCTCATGTGAGTGTACGAAGTTTTAGATGTGAGTGCAGAAATGACTCATTAAAATAATGGGTGACTGTACTGAGTGTAATGACAAAGAATTAAAACTGTGTTTTAGTATGTACATTTAAAATGTTTAACAGCTAATTACTGTACTTGTTGAACAATTGTTTCCGTTGGTTTCTCATGGTGAAATCTAGAACATGCTGCATGTAAGAATGGTAGGTGCTTCAAGCAACAACATATTTGGTCAATAATTCGGGGATTTTTTTTCTTTTTTGTTGTTGCCTCTTTTAATGCTTTGGCCATTTATTCATCATCTATCATAAGAGCTAACTGCAACAGTGACCCCTTGTGAATGAGGGATCAGCCTAACTTATTCACTATTTGTCAAAACTCATTCGCCAGGAGGAACGGAGATAATTTGGCAGTTTTTACAGAAAACAAATAGCTCAAGAAAGGAGAAGAGAATTCCTGAAAATCTGAATGAAACATCAGGATATGTCCAGGAACACACATGGATAAAATCCAAAAAGAAAATCAAGGAAAGAGAAACAGAAATAAATCCCTGGATAGCTTAAGATAAGAAAACCTTTATTAGTCCCATGCGTGGGAAATTTCACACTTGAATGAGCTCAACGATTTGAAAATTGAACAGGAAATGTCATTAAACTAATATTCAGGCTCTCTTCATACTTCATCATCCATGCATGTCACACTCCTCAAAGAGTCCAGGGAATTTCAGAAAAATGTTAAGGCTGAAAAAGCTGACCAAATAATACTTTACATGGATTTATGCAAATGAGTGCATGCGATGTGGGAGGGACGCTGCAACCAGGGAGAACAGAGCAAGTTTTTTGTGTTGAGGATGAGTTCAACCTGATTACTCCTGTAAGAAGATTTGTGAGCTGTGGAATACATTTTTGTTATATCTTTTCACATCGCAGTCCCGTGGAAGTTTTTCTTCTTCAAACTAATGTAGGCTACACGAATGAAGCACGGGAAAACTGGTCTCAAGGTTATACAAATTCTCTTCTTAAATAAAACCCAAACAGGGTAACCTTAAATGCACCATGATTTTACTTTACAAGTTCATAAACATTTTTTCTTTCCACTTAACAACCAATTCTATCCCCAGGTCAAAAATACGTACCCGAAAAATACATGTTCAAAGCAACACAACGGTGGCCCAAAATCAGATTGTGAACTCCACTCTGTGGAGTGGAAATTCATAACGAACCAGTTCATTTTATTTTGTAGATTCAAGCTGTTCTTCATATTTTGGGGCATCTGATGTCATCAGAGAAGACTGTGTTGAACAGCTTCGAATAATGAGCTTCAGAAAGCTTCATTTGACCATCACTTAATCATTTCCTTACGAACCGTTAAATCAGGTACCGAAACAGTTAAGTTCTAAAGAATTCTTCGACGTCACTGATCACGTGACTCTGGCCAAACAAATCACACTTTGAGACAGGGATTCTGAAGTATACGCGCGGAGCTTCAAGCTTTCAGCGGGCTAACGCTAGCTTTTAGTGTTCGGGTGTGGAGTGGAGCTTGTTGTTCGTGTCTCTGTGCGAAGAAACTGTAAGTTTGCTTTGTTTCCTCCTTTAACAGTTTGTCTTCATGAACTTTACTATTAGTTCAGCTCATGTTTGATTTCTTTAAACAACAAACTGTTTTTATTTTCGGAACAAAACCGTCGTTTCCTAAACAGTCTGCCCGTTGTGACTCGGCCGAGTGTGTCCGCCATTTCCTGTTACTGTTTGTGATCCAGACTAAACACGGAGTTCGGCCGCTGTTCCACAGTAACTGCTGGCAGATTAACCCGTGTTCGGGTCTGTGAGACCCGTACTCAGTTTTTTTCAAAAGAAAAATTAAACAGTTAATATTTTTTAACCTGAAATTCATTGGCTTTGGCTTATTTTCTGTGAAGAACATGAATCCGAACTAATTTTCAATGACCTCATACTGTACCCCCCACGCATTTACATTACATGCAAGGTGTTCGCGTCCACTGGACCCAGGTCTAATAAAAGTGTTGAAAGTGCAGGTCCTGTGTTCCCACACTCTGTCTTCCTCCTTTCTGGTGCTGCTGATAGTGTTTTCTTCCCCTCCTGCTCCGCACAAACACCGTCTGCTCTGACATTCCCACACATTTTACCCTCTTTCTTGAGGGATCCAAATTTTATGTTCTCATACCCTGTCCCTCCTGCAAATTAGGGGCATAATGCTGTAAATAAGACTTTGCCAGTGTGGTTCTTTATCACAACTGATCAAGATGGCAAAAGATTATCTGCTGCGAGGGCCTTATTGATTTTGGAAGAGAGAGGAGCTTCTGATGATGATGTCGAGGAAGAAGTTTCAGAATATGAGGATCACATTTTTTGTCTGACAGTGACTTTGAAGAAGAGGATGAGGTTGAGTGCCATTTAGTAACAAATGAAGATGAGTACCCCATCTGCAGCCAGCTGCAGGACCAGAACAAGCCCACCAGACAACAAATGAAGAAATATGGATGTAAAAAAAAAAAAAAATGGAGAAATTGAATGATCTTCTTGCCCAAGAAATGTTGTCTTTCCACTCCACTTGATTATAACTGATTTTATTTTTTATAACATTTTATAAAAACAAAACAAAAACGAGAAGCACATTAATTCATAAATGTGATCTAACAAAGGTAAAGGGAAAAATTAACCATGTTTGCTGTTCATATGGCTTGTAAGTGGGATGAAGTAAACATTGTTGAGTAATTTAACATAAAATTGTTTGATAGTGTTAGTTTGGAAAGCCAAAGCTCTAGCGGGTCCACCAGACCCATGAACACTGGCTGAGTAACAAAAAATACGAACACCACACAAGGGTTAACTGATACTTAGTTTAGCTAGCAGTTAGAATATGAACTGTCAGCTTGGTCCTGGGCATTGTTATGGCCATGTTTGACCTGCTGCTTTGTAGGACTACAGGAATGGAGGACTTGGAGGCTAATCTCTGTGACACTTTTTGTTGTGAACTGATGAAAGCTGTGGATGTTAGTCCAACACATCAAAAGCTCTCGATTGATGTGCACATGAATCATTTGTTTCCTCTGCAGGTAGAAAGTGTGTGTGAGCTGAGCAGCATGGATCAGTGTGAGGACAGAAAGGAGGGAGTCCCTCCCTCTAAAAGCACTCTGTGTGGGGAACATGAGAGCCAGACCAAAGCTCAGAGGTGAGATGACCATCTGTAACTGTCCATGACTCTTCTCCATGTCACAGCTCAGCACTCACATCACTGCTCCATCATTATTCACAGAAACCAGCCTGGACCTCCACTCAGTGACGAGTCAAAGGACATGGATGATGAGTTTAAAGAAAACGTCTGTCCTCCTGCAAAGAGGTAATGTCTGTCTAAATGTTGTGTCTCAGTGTTTGTGAATAAATCCTCCATCATGTTTAATGTCAGCTCAGCTGTGTTTCACACACATTTCTATGTTTATATGTGAAGCGGTGTGTGTTGGAGTGTTTCCACAAATGCATCATGTAAAGAATGGATGTTGTAGGAGGTGTGAAGAGGCTGAGTGTCTGTAGGACTCCAGCTGCTCAGTGTTCTTAATTTTCCTTAAATGTGTATATCAACAGCAGTGTCAAGGCTGAAGTTACATCAAGTGACATATACATGCCTAGTAGATGTCATTGCCAAGATGTAGTACTGCTGATTCTACATTTCATGTTTTGTAGATGAATCCTTGTTGCTGATATTTGTATCTTACTTTTTGCCTCTTGCAGTAGACTAACTTTCTTGAACAAATATTGTTTTCCTATAATAAAAATTAGTCACTTTTTTAAATCATTTATAATTTAATAAGCAAGTTGTTACACAAACAAGCCTTATCTCCTCATGCGTTTACTAAAATACCACAAAAATCTAGAAGTAAAATGGACAGTTTAAAAAAACCTCGGTCCTTATAATCCAGTTGCAAAGATTTATTCTGCTGTTTAATGTCCTAAATAAGTATATTCGACATATGATGAGACTTACTGACTATGAATCATGTCCACATGTTTTACAGGCCAAAGACGGAGAAGGCAGTGAAAGTGCAGCTGCTTGAAATGTTGAACAATCTGGGAGACGAGGAGCTGAAACATTTCCAGTTTTACCTGCACAATGACCCTGGCGATGACTTCCCCAAAGTCTTTAAACGCCAACTGGAAAATGCAGACAGACTGAAAACAGTTACACTGGTGCTGCAGACGTATGCGGGCAATGAACTGGAGGTGGCGAGCTCGATTTTAAAGAGGATGAATGAAGGTCAGACTATGCAGTATGCAGATACAACATTATCACAATTCATTTTGTGATATGTATTAAACTGAGGCTGTTTTAGTCTAAATGAATATCAATGGTACTAAAAGTAGCTGTAGCTAATACTACATCTGTGGGATGATTATGGGTAATTTTTTCTCTAATGATTAAAATTTTATTTGTGAAGTTCATGAAGTCATTACTAGCTAACGTTAAAGGGATGGTTGGCTCAACAGAGCTCTGACTTTTTGTCAGCCTGGCTACAGAGCTGAAGAGAAACCTGGGGTTGTTCTTATTTTCTTCAATCAGTGACAAATGGTAAGATGTTCTGGCTTTGCGGAGGGCTTTCTTATAAAGCAACCAACTATTTTTCCAGGCTAAATTATGATCTTCTAAATTTGTGACACGCTGTTTCATCTCTGGCTTATTAGATTTCATCCCGCTTTAAGGTGCAGGTGAAATCTACTCTCCACTGCTGTGTAATCCGTTATTGTATTAGGCTTTGTTCTAAGGGAATGATCAGACGAGTGTTTTCAGTAAACACTGTTAGATGTTCAGTTTCTATTCCATATGTTAAAACTAAATCTGTGAGGGTTCTTTTACACACTGAGAGAAGCCAATTCAGTCTATTAACTAATTAAATGCTGTGTTTAGGCTGTCATTTTTAGCATCTTCATGGATGTTAATATAAATGAATGACCTTGTTCAATAAAATATTTAAGTATTTTCTATATCTAGAATTGTATGTTTCTAACCTTTGTGACATGTCATTTTCATGCTAATTGAAGATGGTTCAATGAAAGGTCCAATTTGATTTGTGTTCAAATTACCCAAATATCTCCTGAGATTTTAACGAAAGTTATTAAGATGGAAATGCATGATTATATAAATAATGGTTGACACTGTAAAAACCATAATAGACTAATCATCCTTCTTACTGTTTTTAATTCAGAGGCTCTTCAAAAGTGTCATCGTCATCTTAAATTCAAGTCTAATCTGAAGAAGAAGTTCCAGTGTGTGTTTGAGGGGATCGCTAAAGCAGGAAACCCAACCCTCCTGAATCAGATCTACACAGAGCTCTACATCACAGAGGGAGGGACTGCAGAGGTCAATGATGAACATGAGGTCATACAGATTGAAACAGCATCCAGGAAACCAGACAGACCAGAAACAAAAATCAGACAAGAAGACATCTTTAAAGCCTCACCTGGAAGAGACGAGCCAATCAGAACAGTGCTGACAAAGGGAGTGTCTGGCATTGGGAAAACAGTCTTAACACAGAAATACACCCTGGACTGGGCTGAAGACAAAGCCAACCAGGACATCCAGTTCATATTTCCATTCACTTTCAGAGAGCTGAATGTGCTGGAAGAAAAAAAGTTCAGCTTGGTGGGACTTGTTCATCGCTTCTTTACTGAAACCAAAGAAGCAGGAATCTCCAGGTTTGAAGACTTCCAGGTTGTGTTCATCTTTGATGGTCTGGATGAGTGTCGACTTCCTCTGGACTTCCACAAAACTACAATCCTAACTGACCCCAGAGAGTCCACCTCAGTGGATGTGCTGCTGATAAACCTCATCAGGGGGAAACTGCTTCCCTCTGCTCACCTCTGGATAACCACACGACCTGCAGCAGCCAATCAGATCCCTCCTAACTGTGTTGGCATGGTGACAGAGGTCAAAGGGTTCACTGACCCACAGAAGGAGCGGTACTTCAGGAAGAGATTCCGAGATAAGCATCAGGCCAGCAGGATCATCTCCCACATCAAGACATCACGAAGCCTCCACATCATGTGTCACATCCCAGTCTTCTGCTGGATCACTGCTACAGTTCTGGGGGATGAGCTGAAAACCAGAGAGGGAGGGCAGCTGCCCAAGACCCTGACTGAGATGTACATCCACTTCCTGGTGGTTCAGGCCAAAGTGAAGAAGGCCAAGTATGATGGAGGAGCTGAGACAGATCCACACTGGAGTCCAGAGAGCAGGAAGATGATTGAATCTCTGGGAAAACTGGCCTTTGATCAGCTGCAGAAAGGAAACCTGATCTTCTATGAATCAGACCTGACAGAGTGTGGCATCGATATCAGAGCAGCCTCAGTGTACTCAGGAGTGTTCACACAGATCTTTAAAGAGGAGAGAGGACTGTACCAGGACAAGGTGTTCTGCTTCATCCACCTGAGTGTTCAGGAGTTTCTGGCTGCTCTTCATGTCCATCTGACCTTCATCAACTCTGAAGTCAATCTGATGAAAAAACAACATGTCTACCAAATTGCTGTGGATAAGGCTTTAAGGAGTCCAAATGGACACCTGGACTTGTACCTCCGCTTCCTCCTGGGTCTTTCACTACAGACCAATCAGACTCTCCTACGAGGCCTGCTGACACAGACAGGAAGTTGCTCACAGACCAATCAGGAAACAGTCCAGTACATCAAGAAGAAACTCAATGAGAAGCTGTCTGCAGAGAAAAGCATCAATCTGTTCCACTGTCTGAATGAACTGACTGATCGTTCTCTAGTGGAGCAGGTCCAACAGTCCCTGAGATCAGGAAGTCTCTCCACAGATAAAGTGTCTCCTGCTCAGTGGTCAGCTCTGGTTTTCATGTTACTGTCATCAGAAGAAGATCTGGATGTGTTTGACCTGAAAAAATACTCCGCTTCAGAAGGGGCTCTTGTGGGGCTGCTGCCAGTGATCAAAGTCTCCAACAAAGCTTTGTAAGGAAATTTCTGATCAGGCTTTTATTTTCTAAATATTTATTCTAGTAACAATTGCAATTTGTTCATGGCACAATCGTGCCATGAACAAATTGGACGAGCACTGTGATGGGTGCTCGTCCATTTAAAAAAAAAAAAAAAAAAAAAAAAAAAAACTTTAAAGTGCAATGATCATCAGCATTAAATCAAGTATATGATTCTCCTAAAAATTCAAAGCAACAGACAGTATCAACATTTCTGAGACATCTGTCGGTGTAACACTTACCAAAGTACCATTCAAAACGGTTTACTTTATACCAAAAACTTATGGACTAATCCAGTGTCCTGTTACTAGGGATGGGTGTCGTTTAGGTTTTATCCAATAACAGTGCCAAACCAGTACTTTTGAAACTGTGCCGGTTCTTAAACTGTGCTTAAAGAATGGAGAACACAAACTTTGTGCAAAAACCTCTTACGTTTTTTTTTTTAGCAGTCTCTATTTTTCTGCAAAATGATAACCAAGTTAGCCTTTTCTGTTGATACAACATGAAGGGAGTACCTGCCATCAAACAAGAAGACAGCCGCATGTAACTACGACAGTGTTTGCTAGTTCACCTTGCATGCATTAATGTAATAACGTGGTTAGCCTACTCAACGTAAATTACACACAAACGACATTAAGCTACTCGCCCAGAGAAGAACAGCTGCTGCTGTCATCATCATCCGTCGCCATTTCTGCTACACTGGCAGGGCTAGGGGCCAGGACTCTACTCTTCAGTTTCTTGGGGGATGTTGCTAACTCCGGGTCCGATAACAGGCACCACACCCGCAGTAGATGTGCTTGTTGTGAGGTCTTGCAGCAAGCTGTCAAATACGATGTATTTCGCGGCTTTTAAAAAAACGCTATGCGTCGCCAGGTGTTTCATTAGATTTGAGGTGTTACCTCCTTTGCACAGTATCGCCTCCATCACCACCTAGTCAAGACTGGGTTGAGAAATTTCATAAGAAGTGTTCTTGGTGGAACATTATTATTTCCCTTCAACCTGATCTGGTGCATTATATCCAGTTCAGCTGGCAACATCAAGCACATCCAGTATCCATTACGGTATTTTCACGACCATAAGATGCACTGTACTGAAAGGCGCAGTCTCAGTTATGTGTGCCATTACTGTATTTAACACACACATAAGGCGCACCTGATTATAGGGTGCATACAAGTATGCATATTTAAAACTAAAGCGGGAGCAAAACTGAGTTTGGTACTAACATTTTTATTACCTGTAATCGTCACCAATCAAACCCATCGAAGTCTTCATCCTCTGTCTGAATTGAACAGCTGCGCTAAATCTCCATCAAACATTCCAGGTTCACTTTCTTCACCGTCAGAGTCACTTTCCGTGCTGTGCGGCTCCTCGGAAATTATGGCGGCTTTTGCGAAAGCTCGAACAACAGTGCCAGCAGACATGTTAGCCCAAGCATCTACAATCCATTTGCAAATTGTGGCGTAACGCGCCCGGTGCTGCCTTCCACTCTTAGTGAAACTGTGGTCTCCATCGGTCATCCATCGCTCCCACGCCGCTCGCAGCCTTACTTTGAACGGCCGGTTCACACCAATGTCCAGCGGTTGGAGTTCCTTTGTCAGGCCTCCCGGAATGACAGCAAGCTCACAGTTCATTTGCTTAACTTGTTTTTTTCACATCGGCTGTGAGATGGGCACGCATAGAGTCACAGATCAACAGCGATGGTGATGCGTGGAAAAAAACCACCTGGTCTCCTTACATACACCTCCCTCAGCCACTCTTTCATCATTTCCTCATCCATCCAGCCCTTTTCATTTGCCTTAATGATGATTCGTGTTGGAAACTTCTCTTTAGGCAAAGTCTTTCTCTTAAAAAATCACCATTGGCGGCAGTTTCTGTCCATTAGCATGGCAGCCAAGCACAACAGTAAAAGAAGACTTTTCGTGCCCCATTGTGCGTATCGCTACCATGCTGGTCCCCTTCTTCTCCACATTGTGACTCACCGGGATGTCGAAAGTGAGCGGCACCTCTTCCATGTTAGTGATGTGGCTGGGCTGGATGTGTTTGTCGGCGATGTGTTTGCTGCAGTAGGAGCGGAAGATGGCCAGCTTTTCCTTATAATCCGCTGGAAGTTGCTGCACTACCGTAGTCCTGGTCTGGATGGAAAAATGGCACAGTTTCATGAAACAAAAGCACCAAGACGGACCTCATTGGAAATGTTCAATTTTCATTTCTTCTGCTAGCGAAACTGCTTTTAGTCGAATGGTGACCGTCAAAACGCTTCTCCAACTCGTTCTTTGCTCGATGATCCACTGCTCGAGTCTTTCCTCCAACTCGGGCCACCTTGCCTTATGTCCGCGGAAAGTCAGCTGCGTGTTCTTGACCTCTCGGAGCTCGTTTTCCAGCTTCCTCCACTTGCGAACCATCGATTCATTAATCTTAAATTCTCTCGCGGCTGCTCGATTTCCATGTTCCTCCGCGTAGCTGATGGCCTTCAGTTTAAACTGTGTTTCATAAGCGTGTCTCTTTGCCATTTTCAGGGTTGTTAAAACAACGAAGTTCTGCATAACGCACATACCTGTTCTTTTATACAGGTATGTGCGATTGTAGCGGTATATACAATCAACGCCCACACTTCACTCTTTAGCTTTCTCATGGTGATCTCTACTACGTCCTCCTTACAACACACACAGGGCGCACTGCACTATAGGGCGCGCCGCACTTTTTGAAGAAAATCTAAGACTTTTATGTGCGCCTTATAGACCCGAAAATACGGTATACCAAAATAAGATTCTTTCAGGCTCCTATGTCAGTCCTATGCCTTGTAGCTGTGTGGTTCCTTGGTGGGTCCTGGGTGGGCTTGGGGACTTGGACTTCTGGGGGTCTTGGGTCATGGCTGGTGTGTTGCCAGGTTGTGGGTGGGTGAGTGCATGCACAGGGTACCCAATCTAGATGGGCCCGGGCCTGGACACCATGCTATTATTGGGTTTCGGGGAACGGGGTTCCCTCTTCCGGGGTGTGTAGGGTCCTCGGTTCGCTTGGCCCAGGGCTCAGTCTGCTCTGGCCTGGCCAGCTGCCAGTGGAGCCTGCGGGCTCATTTCTATGGCCGCCTGTGACTTGTGCTGCTGGGTGACTTTTCTAGGTGGGGTGGTGTGATTGTGGTCCTCCTTGGGTTCTCGAGCTCTGGGGAGGAAGGGCCTCTGGCTCTCTGGTGCCCGAGTCTCCTCCATGTCTGCTTCATGTCCTATGTGGCAGGGCTGTTCCTCGCCACACCCAGTATAAGACATTTACATGGAGAAACCCTATGAATATAAGTGCGCTCAGACACAGGTGTGGACAGAGATGTACAAACAAGTAATCCCAGAAACACACTATCTTGGTTGCTGCTCAGTAACATTTATTGTTTACGGTTACTTTTGCATATGTTGGTTGTTTCTATGGTTTCTGTGCTATGTCTTGTTCCTTCCTTCCAGCTTACATTTTGAAATTTTTAGTTAACCATGACTTGTAGTGTCCCTACAGCGCGCGCGTGTGTGTTTGTGGGAGTGTTATTTATTTTTCCTCCCTCTCTTTTTAACAAATGTCACAGATTTCATGCTTCTTTATTTTTAGGCTGAGTGTCTGTGAGCTGTCAAAGGCAGGCTGTGAAGCTCTGACTTCAGTACTCAGCTACAAGTCGTCTAGTCTGACAGAGCTGGACCTTAGGATCGACAGCTTGGACGATTCAGGTGTAAAGCTTCTGTCTGCAGCCTTGGGGAGTTCATGTTGTAAACTGAATACTCTAAGGTCAGTATATTCAGTTTTTTGTTTTGTTTTTTGTTTTTTTTCTCCCTTGTTCAGCTGACAAATGAAACGGTTAAAAATGCCACTCATAAGTGTTTATTAGTATTTCTCATTATCCCCAAGTTAAACTGTCACATTTCTAACCTGTTTAATCCCAGGCATTAAGGATTATTTTAAAACACATTGCTAAATGTAGTAGCTTATTAGTAAAACGAGTGTTTCATTGTTCATGTTATAATTTTCAGACTGAGTCTCAGTAACCTCTCGGAGAGCAGCTCTGAAACTCTTTCTGCTGGACTGCAGAATCTAAACTGCAAGCTGATTACTCTGAGGTCAGATCAAGTAACATTTTATTTTTCAGAATTAATCAATAAGTTGATTAAAGTTTAGCCAATCATTGTTGTATCTTTAAAAAAAACAGGATTGAATATTGGCAATAACGCCATGCTGACAACACTTTAACTCTTGTGGGTGTTTTTTTTTTTTTTTAAATAGGCTAATGGGCTGTAAGTTCTCAGAGGGAAGCTGTGAAGCTCTGTCCTCAGTTCTCAGCTCCCAATCCTCTAGTCTGAGAGAGCTGGACCTGAATAATTCTGAGCTGTGGGATTCAGGAATGAATCTTCGGTCTGTAGGAATAATGGCTTCACAGTGTACACTGGAAACACTAAGGTCAGATCAACAGTATTATTTATTTTTATCAGTTGCCAAAAATAACCAATAATTGTAGCTAATTCAATAAAAGTCATCTATGTGTTATATCATTTCATAACTTCTCTCTTCACTACGATTACACTTTAACACAGGTGTTGTGTTTTTCAGACTGAGTAGCTGTTTCCTGTCAGAGGGAAGTTGTGAAGTTCTGTCCCCAGTTCTCAGCTCCCAGTCCTCAAGTCTGAAAGAGCTAAACCTGAGTAACAACAACCTGCAGGATTTGGGTGTGAAGTTTCTGTCTGCTGCACTGCAGAGTCCACAATGTAACCTTGAAACTCTCAGGTCAGGATTCAAATCTTTCCACAGAGGATCGTTTAAAATGTGATTTATGTCTTTGCACAAAAAGTATCATAAGGGTGATACTTCAAGAGCCATGAGGTGGTACTCATTGTGAGAAGTTTGAGAACCACTGTGGTAGCTTAGAAACATGAATCAGCGCAGTGCACCCGGTAGAAAGGTTTCTGGTTGGGCTGGTGGGGGGATTAATCTCCTAAGACCCGAACTCTGTCATGGCATGCATTTTTAATTTCTCTTTGCTATGAGGGAGATTGGGACCTGATGAATGTAAAAACAAAGAATTAACAGATAATTTGTTTTGTTTTTTGTACCTAATTTTTGTTTCTGAGAAAAATAAAATCCACATATGTTTTAAATTTTGATAGAACAGTGGCAGTATGATGTCATAAATTGATATCAGGCCCTTGTAGATAAAAATTAAGGATTGTGGCCACAGCTCAGTGCAGCAGCTTTGGCAATGGAGGTGTTGAGCATCATCCATTCGGACTCAATGTCCCCATTCTCCCTCAGAAGCTCAGCTACAGGTGGGGGTTAAAGAGCTTGCAGACCGGGGCCTCTGCCAAGTGTTCTTAGGGCAAGATCACTATAGGTTTAGGTGTGCCAGGTCTGTGCAGCATCCTTCCCCGCCATCTGATCCAACAGCCTACCAGGTGGTGATCATTTGACAGCTCAGCCCCTCTCTTTAGGCTGTTCCTTAAAATCACACCCATCCAAGTCTCATTGTCTTTACCCATATGAGTGTTGAAGTCTCTCTCACAGTAGGACAACTTGCTGTGGTACCAGCTCCCAGTTTGAGTTCAGGAGACAGACATCCTCTCTACTTTTAAGATCAGTTTCAAACTTTCCTTTTTGATAAAGCTTATAGTTAGAGCTGGATCAGTTGACCCTGAACCATCCCTTAGTTATGCTGCTACAGGCGCAGACTGTTGGTGGACTTCCCGTGATTCTCTGCTTTCTTCTCCACTCCCCTATTTTTACTACTGATGCTTTTATATGTCACTACCGCATGTCCTTAACTTTTTTTTTTCTCCTCTCCACTTAGTTTATCTTATAAATAAAGTCATTTTAAATATAATGGATGGAAATGGATGTTGTTGTATCAGCCATCCATAAAATTGTTGTTCACAGATTGCTTGTTATTTTGTGTGTCTGCAGTCTGTCAGGCTGTCTGATCACAGAGGAAGGCTGTACTTTTCTGGTCTCAGCTCTGAACTCCAACCCCTCCCATCTGAGAGAGCTGGACCTGAGCTACAATCATCCAGGAGACTCAGGAATGGAGCTGTTGTCGGCTGGACAAAAGGATCCACGTTGGAGACTGGACACTCTCAGGTATGGAGAGAATGCCTGACAAAGGCGGAAGAGCTGGAAACATTTCTTGTGTCCTTCACTCACTTCCTATTTTTCTTGATGCATGCTTAATCAGATTTTAACGATTCCGATTCCATTTTCGATTCTGTTTAACGATTAGATTCTTTATCGATTCTCTTATCGATTCTTTTTTTTTTTTTAAAAAGGAGAACACTAAGGTCGATTAGCTTAGAACTTTGTTTTATATCTTCTCTTTGAACAAGATAGAAATTTAGGAGTAACATGGCCTTACAAACCCAACAGTGAGATCTTAAGAGTTCCAGCCTATGGCTCTTCAATGTGGTGTCACAGGGTCCCCAAGGAAAAAAATTGTAAATGTAAAATAATAAAATAAATATTCTTCTGTAGCAGGGGTGCTCAATACGTCGATCGCGATCGACCAGTCGATCGCAAAGGTAGTATTGGTAGATCGCATGGCATTAAAAAAATAGATGCCAGCCTATCATCCATCCCGTCACTTGATTGATACAGGGAAGCCAGTCAGATGACAGCAGATTTTTTCTGACGCTTAGGTCGCTGCGCATGCGCAAACAGCGGCGCGAAGTGTAGTAAAACTGACAAGCTAGTCAGCGAGTTAACTCCAATTTTTAGCTCTCGGTTTTTTCTCTTAAACCTGGCCGTCAGCAGCTACTGTCCGGACTATGCATCCCTGGCTGATTCAATTCAGTGCAAGTCATCAGAGTAAACTCAGGTAATGACAAAAAAATTTACATAGTTAATTGTGTTGTGAAATATTGGATATTGCGGTTATGCATGTATATACATTGTAGATATAAAGAATCCTCAATATATTTATAAATAAGTATATGTTTTGGATTTTTGTAGTGGGTAGATCATTTTGACTTGGTCATTTTATAAGTAGCTCACATGCGGAAAAAGTGTGAGCACCCCTGTTCTGTAGCAATAACAAAGTATAACATAAATTGTTCTGTGGCAATTACACAAGAATATCCAGTAATGTCCCTGCCTACAATTAAACACATTCACTTACCAAAAATCATCTGCTGTGGCAAACGGGTGCAAGCCTTTGACCACAAACTTAGACACTGCTCGGTGACATTCGTCTATCCTGGCCTGAAAGGAGACGCTACCGGTAGACTGCAGCGAGAACTGCCAGCGAGCGCCAGCCAGACTCTGTCTCTCTCATCATGGTCACCTACATGTACAGTAATGGCAGGTCTTGTAATAAGGCAGATTGCGCTAACATAATATGCACTGTTAGTTGATTATTTCCCTGCCGCATTAACGGGAGAGGACGTGCAAACGTTAGCGCTGCTGCTGGGTTGAGAGTCACGAGTCCGGAGCGGAATTAAAAACGCGTGTCATCGCGTGTTTTGTGAGCAAATGCTTTTGCATATTCGTAGTGTTTCCTCCCTTAAATGAAATATCTACTTTGCAAGTTGCCCTGTTGTCATCGGTTCTCATAAAGTATAATCAAACTTTTGAGCGTTTGAGCCGCTTAGGCGCCGTGTTTCCTGCCAGGTAAATGACGCTCCGCAACGTGGGGACGTCATTCAGGGCGACTGGAATCGATAAGGGAATCGTTTGCAAAAATGGCAAACAATTCCAAGGAATTGAAACAGTGGGAACCGGTTCTCAACAAGAACCGGTTTTCGATACCCATCCCTAGTTGTGACAGTGATGTACACTGTTTTGATGGTATAAATGTATTAATAGTTTGTAAATTTCAGATAATTTTTTTTAAAAGCTAGATATTTTAAATGAGAATAATGCTATTTCCACATGTAACAGGTATTTTTGAAAACGCAGGTTTTTCTATGCGTTTGCACCTTTCGTCCAAACATAAACGGCGTTTTTGGTCACTAAAAACTGAGATTTTTAAAAACGCCTGCCAGGGTAGATATTTTTGAAAACTCAGTTTTTGCATTCACGTGTGGATGAGGAAAAGAAAACACAGCGTCAAAGGTGTGCGCCTTTTTTGACGTCACACTGTGCGCCGTGTTGTCTCGGTGAAATGAATTTCTACAATGGTGGACTTGCACAAAATACTGTTACTCTCTGCAGTGTTTAAATGCTTACATATACACACAGTTACTGTCCCTCCACACAGGACTCAGTTCTGCTTCTATGTGCTGTCTTTGTTTATTCTTTCTCACCCAGCCTTCTGGACTTCAGATTGGCCAACATTTCTATACGGTTAGGAATATATCGCCACCTGTTGCTTTGGCATGTTCATAGCAGCGTTTTCCCTGATTTTAAAAAAACAAAAACGGGAAAACTGTTTTTCAAAAATACCAGTGTACATGTGGACGTAGCTTAAGAAAGAAAAGTAATCCCTCTCCCTGTTAATGCCCTTCATGGCCCCCTGGCAACACTTTGCTAGACCCGCCCCTGCACAGTTACCAGCTGTCAGCTACCTAAAAAAGGATTCTGGTGTTATTTGTCTCTCAGAAACAGTTCATAACTTCCCTTCAACTCATTCATGTCACCTAAAAGGTAAACCTGTTTCTCCATCACAGCTCTGATGATTCAGTAAGGACATCTCCTGGTTTCATCTTCATGTTTCCCTCTCACCACATCTCCAAACCGACATCATGACCAGCAGCTTTACAGCTGTGGCTCCAGCAAACATCAGCTGATACTAGAAATTAATATTAAATAAATTCTAACAACAGCTGATCAAGCTTTCTGGCGCAAAGTGGGCGATTTATTTAAAAAAAAAAAGAGAGAGAAAAGCCGATCAGCTGATCATTGATCAGTTTCATGATTGATGGAGCAACAAAAGAGGGAGGGGAGAGAATGAGAGAAGAAGAGGCAGCTGTGCAGCAAAGACGCAGAATAACTTGAGCTTTGTCTTTTTTCCATTCTAGCTGAAGTACGGGACAAACTGTTATTAGCACAGACACTTTTAAAAGCGATCATTTAGGACTTGAGCAATAATACAAACAGCAATGTAGTTAAACATCTTACGGTTCGTTTTATTGGGAATTGGCTTTAAAAAAACAAAAGAAAAAAATCTATCTGGTGAGAAGGTTTTCATTTTTTAAATTTTTTTTTCAACAGGAGTGAGATGTGTGTTATATAAGGCAACGTTTTTGATAGGTTTGTAGCTTGAACCTATTCGCTGGAACGTTGAAGACAATATAATTACACAGCAGCAAGACACGAAGTAGGCAAAGTTCTTCGTGTTTCTCGTGCACGGAGAGAACCGGACAGACGCCGTTCCTTCGCTTGACCCCAGTTGCTCTCGTCCGCTCCCCCGTAACACTGCTCTTTTATTGAGCTTACATTAATATGCATAGGTTCATTAACATATGACGTCTACATACAAACAAAGAGTACCGTCTGTGTGTGTGTGTGGGGGGGTCAGAGTGTGACCCCATAAATGACTTCCCTAAACCTGCTGGTCTGGAAGTCCAGCAGTTCATCTAAACCAAAGGCACTTAGCCTAAAACAGATACAGCCACGTTTATCCTGCCATAAAACAATAAGAAAATGTACGACCTCTCCTATGCTCCCAGGATGTAGGTGTGCACACAAAGCTTGCAGACTATTAAGGATCAAACCTCTACCAATCTACAACTAATTATAAAACTCTAAGCATATATAAGTAGATATTTCTAAGCATAAATGACAATCAACAATACAAAACCTGACAGTTTTCCTTTTGCATTATTTTTGTGTGGTGCATTTTTCTACATTTTAACAAAAGGGGAACAGTTCACCGAGGATTTGTTATAATTTTCACATGGTCTTGCTGAGGTAATGCAAATCGAAACTGCCATTCTTGTCTTTTTTTGGGGGGGGGATATGCTGGAAAAACCTTTAAAATGGACCTTGAAGATGCTTAAAGTGCTTGAATTTAACCCTGAAAAAAGTGTTTGAACCCCGTCAGTCATATTTCATTCAATACAGTGGTGTACTGACAGATCCAGGATCAGTCCAGTCATCAGCAGTTTTATCCACGTTTAGATTAAAGTGTATTTGTAAAAATTTTGTACTGTTCCTTTTGTTAGTGTGTAATAGTATGTGTATGAGAGCCATGTAATAGCCATGTGTGCATGCTAAGACTGTGCTGGTCTGACACCCCGCCCCCCCCCCCACCCCCCTCCTTTCAGGGTGGAGCCTGCTGGAGAACGATGGCTGACACCAGGTCTGAGGAAGTGTAAGTGTGTTTTTAATGGGATTCATGAAAACAAAGCAGCACACATTCAACCATCTTCATCATTCACATCTCTGATGTCAGGAGTCATCATCAAAGTGTCAATCAATGAACAGATGATGGATCAATAACTGCAGCTGGATTGTGTTTGTTCTCTCATCAGATTCCTGTCAACTCACAATCGACACAAACACAGTTCACAGATGGCTCAAACTGTCTGACGACAACACGAAGGTGACACGTGTGTGGGACACTTTTTCATATCCTGATCATCCAGACAGATTTGATTGGCATCCACAGCTGCTGTGTGAAAATAGTCTGACTGGTCGCTGTTACTGGGAGGTCGAGTGGAGAGGAATAGTTTTTATATCTGTGAGTTACAGAAGAATCAGAAGGAAAGGAAAGGGCATTGACTGTGTGCTTGGCTACAATGCTCATTCCTGGAGTCTGATCTGCTCTGATGATGGTCCTCAATCTGTCAGGCACAACAACAAACAAAGACCCATCTCCTCCTCCTCCTCCTCCTCCTCTGCCTCTAACAGAGCAGCAGTGTATGTGGACTGTCCTGCTGGCACTCTGTCCTTCTACAGAGTCTCCTCTGACACTCTGATCCACCTCCACACCTTCAACACCACATTCACTGAAACTCTTTGTCCTGGGTTTTCATTTGACTATGATTCTTCAGTGACTCTGTGCTGAGTGGAGTGTAAAGAGTGTCTCCTGTTAGAGAAAGATTCTGACTGTTGAAGAGAGAGTTCAGTCTGTACATGTCTCTCTTTCACTCAGAAACATGTTTTCAGATTCATGGATTCAATCAGTTGATGTTTTAAACTGTTCTAAATGATTCCTTGTAAAGCTCTTCCTCTTCAGTCCTTTAAAGATGGAAGCTCACATTATTCCAGGATCCACCTGTTGTTTTTCTGTCTTTTCCCACTCAAAGCGTCACAGTGAATATAGTATGTGGTGTTTCTGTGAAGCTCAGTTCACAACCAGCTCCTCTGCATTTTCACCAAGTCTGAGCTCATTAAAATGAAACCAAATGTTTGATTTCTTTCTTAATTGGATTGTTCCATCATAACTGAATGAGTGGACATCCAATAGTACTGTGTATAAACTATTAAAGACATTCAGCGTCTCATGTTTCTGTCATTGTATAAAAACAGCTGCTTTTAAAAATTGATCCAATAAAACAAACTGCATGTATTGATCAGGTCAATACACACAGCTCTCATGTCACTAACATCTCCATGATCTCTTCATTGATGGTGATTTGTGACCCTCTGCTGGTGAGAAGATGAACTACATGATGTCAGCTCATGAGCACAGATGACGAAGTTTTTTTTTTTTTTAATTTTTTAAGGGTGTTGGGTCGCAAATTTTGTAGATAAAATGATGACCACCGGATGATGTAGAGATTCACCTTCTTTTTATTGAAAGATCCAATTAAAATCACTCAAATATCCTCTAGAAAAGATAAATATTGAAACGCAGTTTATTAAACGGTCATATGAACTGCAAAACAACATTGCAAAGCAAGCGAAACATGCACCGGGATCTAGACAGAAAGCGCTGATGGGGACATTTCTGACCCTACTTCTCTGAGATCCTGTACCCCTCCTCTAGCCAGCTTTTAACTTTTGACTCCTTGTCAAGTTAGTTTAAGTTTAAACTACAGGTATTTTCTCAATTTTACAAAGACCGATTTTGCAACAATTATGACTAAATGTGTTTGTCAGTGTTTTACATGTTAATCCTAATGATTAAATCTCACAAAAAACAGTGGGTTAACAGGAGCTCACATAACATGTGGTGCAGAGTTGTGATATAAGTGAATAATACTAAACCTAAATACATGGTGACAGATAGTTTAAATATGTGGGGTAAATGGTTAATGTGGCTGTTGTACAGAGTGTTCGTGGCGTTGCACCCTGGATCCTTCAGAGATTTTTCAGAGTTTTCCCTGCTGGAATGTTTCAGGTTTCTGTATGTGTTGTGGCTAACTGTTGACGTCTCAGAAAGTCATCATTAAATGTCCCGATTAAGGCTCTTAGTTTCCGAGCATCATTTTCCTGAGGTTATAACACCTTTTTGGTGATGAGCGTAAAAACTAAATCTAGACAGCTTTGAGTTTTTGCTACGGAATTTGCAGTCAGGTCACCAATTTGCATCTATCACTATGATTGGATCACTCATGGAGTTCACAGACGGTGACTGGATTGAATATGATAGGCTGGAACACTTTTTTGGCAAACGGCATTGAGGACGAAAAAAAAAAGTTCAGTTCTTCTCAGTGCATGTGGATCGAGGATGTAAGAGTTGATATGTAACCTAACAATACTTGGGAAACCTGTGGACTTCAGCTTCAAAGAACTGGTGACGTTGGTGCAAAATCATTACTGCCTGAAACCCTCCGTGACTGTTCAGCGTTTCAAATTCCAGACTCATTCACGCAGGAGTTTCAATGGCTGCATATGTGGTGGAGCTGAGACAGCTTTCAGAGCACTGAGTTGGGGGCATGCTGGATGACATGCTGTTGTTAGGGGAGCCCACACTGGACTTTAAGAAAGCGTTGGAAATTACTAAAGCAAGAGAAACAGCAGCTAATAACAATAAAGACCTATGGAAAGCTGACAACAATATGAATTAAGCCGATGCACATCAAGTATCTAAGAGTGTGGGAGGCACATTTTGGCAAGTACTGTGTTTGTAAAGACAGTATCTGCCATAACTGCAAGAAAATGGGGGCACTAAGCCAAGAAATGAAGGAGAACTAAAGAAGGAATTGGAAAACTTAACCCAAACTAAACATGCATTTACATGGATTTAATAAGTGCTTTGTGGAGCCCATCTATGCCATTATCCATGTAAATAGGAAGAGCAGTAAATGGAGGTTGAGCCAGGGGCCTCGGCTTCCGTGATCAGCCAAGCCACCTACCACAGCTTGTGGCACTTGGGCGGGATGCCGGCTTTCCAAGCGACTGAGACAGTACACCGGTGAATGCATTCACCCGCTTGGCGCTATAGAGGTGCATCAGCATATCAGGGTCAAGAAACTGCAGCGACGCTACGTGTGGTGCAAGGAGAGATGCCTAGTCTGCTGGGTCGTGATCTTCTGCAGAAAATCTGCCTGAATTGGAGAGAAATTGTCACGGCCTGAGGCCAGTGGGAAAAACAGAGGCAAACAATACTCTGAGGCGCAGGGACCGAGCATGACAAAGCTTTATTTGCAATGGTGCAATTGATGCAAACAGCGAAAACAGTGAGAGGTGCTCAAAGAGCTTAACATTACCTAGAACTGCTCAACGTAATCAAGGAATAACTCAAAAACACTCGAGGAACTGAGGGCTAGCGGCAGCCTAAATAAACTTAAAAAACACACTAGAAACTCTACTCTGGAACATGAACTTGGAACATGATTGGCAATAACATTAGCTTTGAGGCACACTATGATTCGTATTACTCCGCTTGGAGACACACAGGTTTAACTCAGAAATTCATAACCTTTCACTGTGAAACACACATGGCCGACTTGGCATTTCTATTAAATAAAGCTAAAAAGAGCACTAGAAGTGTCCGCGGTGGAAGCCATGGGGCTGTTGTGGATGGGATGGAGAACCCAACACTGGGTAATCTGCCAGTACAGGAACTCCTGGGGGGGAATCCTGAACACTGGGCAGGTGGGCACGGAGAAACTGTGAGCAGACCAGCGCTGAAATCTAAACAAATTACAGCAGTGGCTTTGCAATGTCCGGAGGTCCTCTGAGAGTGGAGAAAGCACAAACGTCAGAAAAAACATGAAACGGCTAAGAACAGCTGAAACTGTGGAAGCCCTGACTGACAAAGGTTTGCAGATGATCTAGCGAGGTGTGAGTCTGAGCGCTGCTCTTAACAAGCCGGCAATTCCAATTAGGCTCAGGTGCAGCCTCTCAGCATGATGTGGCGGCTCCACCCAGGGGTGGAAACGCCCTGTGGGAAGACCCAGCACTCACCCGGACCATGACAGAAATCATGTATACAACTGTAATAGCAGAATTACTGGGAAAGTATGCAGATGAAATTAATTGGACACCCTCAGGGGGACCACTGTGAAGCTGTGTGTGGACGTCTGCAAAACATTCCCGGTGTTGCTGTCACAGCTGTTCAGAACACCACAAAGCTGACTGCCATGATTGAAGCAGTGAGGACAGCCGTGAGTACTCAGACTGTGCACATTGAACGCAATATGAATACGATCTTGGAGAAGCTTACCGGGTTCTCAGAGCATGCGCCAACCAGCTGGCAGGGGTGTTCACCAAGATCTTCAACCTCTCCCTGAGGCAGTCAGTGGTCCCCACATCCCTCAAAACAACCACCGTCATTCCCATTCCTAAGAAATCAGAGGTCTCCTGGCTGAAATGCTACCGCCCTGTTGCACTGACATCAGTCATCATGAAGTGCCTTGAGTGGCTGGTCAAAGGTCACCTCTGCTCCTCCCTCCATGTTACATATCTGCAAAATTTGGCATGAACGCCAACATCCCTTCAAATTTCTACAATGCTCCACTTTTTCTCTTCCTGTGAGCTCGACCTCTTCTTACTCTCCCTTTTCTTTCTCTTGTTTTTGAATTCTCCTTTTTAACTTCCTTTTCCTCTCACTTTCATGTTTCCTCTTTCACAAACTGTCTAATCACACTCTCCAGTGTGTGTGTGACTTCGTACATCTCTTACTTTCTCATTCTCAGCTTATTCCTTAAACATATAAATTACAATTTACTTCTTTTCTTGGGCAGTAAAAATCCCTCTGATGTTGTGGGACTCTCAAAAACTTCAATAATTCCTGGTTCAAGCCTGACACTCTGGGCTTTGCAGGGTGAAGGCCTCGTGTTTCATGCTCTTCACTGAGTTAAATGCATTCACCAGCAGAATAATGCTGCTGGGCCTGTTTGCAGACAGAGGCGGGAGCTCCTGCTGATTTGTGTGGGACTAAAAAGCTGTGATTACATCCATCCAGCTTCACACTTTGTGAAAACACATCTGTGGAAGGAATGGAAAAGTCATTCAGACGGCCACAGATCACTTCTGAGGAAAGAAGAGGACACTGGCTTTCCTTGTAGTTTCACACCCGAGTAAACCAAATAAAAGTTAAAAAAAAAAAAACTCAGAAAAAAATTAATTAAAAATCATATTCTATTAAAGTTATTTCACCTGGAAACAAACCTTTACACAGTACAAAATTAAAAATTAATCAATCAATTAATTAATTAATTTTCTTTTTTTCAGTGTTTTTTATGACGCCATTCCCTCAAAGAATCTTTCCTTCGCCCCTCCTTTTTTCTTTCCCACTGTAGACCACACTACAGCTCGCCGTTCTGATCCACTCTCAATCCAGATTGTGCCAAAAACTGCTTTCAAAAATCAAGAAGCTGCTTGCTGTACAGCTTCTCACTCTATCATTCGTCCTCTTCCTCCATGCGCTGAAGAGCAGCTGAGTCAGTCTTCAACATGTGAGGGTTTGACAGGAGGGCGGGAAAGACTGCAGGAACCACATCTAAGAGAGGTAAGCAGCACATGCCCACACATGCTTACTGAGACAGGAAGAAAAGAGAGAGAGAGAGAAGGCGGGCCAGAACTCAGAGACCATGACAGAAATATGATCTGATAGCCAAGGTTATTAAAAATAGATATGAAAACATTTAAAAACACATATCATTATTTTCAGCATTGGTTGGTTTGGTTGCAACTTGTCTGATGAGACTCTGATGGATTCTGTGAAGTTCTGTGTTTTTATCGTAATTCCTGTACGTACTTTCATAATCCGGCCTCTGACATATGCTCTCCACAACATAATAATGAATAAAAACGGAAACTGAAACTAACAGAAACTAAGCTCAAATGAAATAGTTTCATATATAAACTAACTTCTCCCAGCTTCATATTTCTGAGAGTGCAGTGAAACACGCTTGATGGTTTCATCATTACAGTTCCCTGTATTAAGCTCTGGAGCAGTAGTTACTTTTATTGTCTGGCTCTGTTCCACAGTGTGTTTTTATCCTCGTCTCCCTCCACTTTCTCTGTAGGATCTACCTTACAATATAAACGCCTCCAGGTGACTGTTGTTGTAAATGACACTAAATTGAACTCACACCCAACTGAGAGAGATGTAAAACCTACATAGAAACATCTCAGCCAGCTAAAGCCACAACCTTCTGCTGTATTTGGTATTTTCTGTCGTTTTAAAAATAATGTCAACTCATTCATTTTGGCATTCATTCATTGTTTATCTTGCTTTGTGTCATCGTAGTCTAAGGAGCTTGGAAAGAAAAGCGTTGAGTGCAGGTTTATTTTAACTGGATACACCAAATGTTCCTATTTCTTTGTTATAATTTACAATTGTGCTATTTTAACCCTTTGTTATGTTGCCTGAATGATTGCATGCTATTCTGAGTCATGTGTTTTGTAAAGCACATTGTAATGTTTGGTTTGATAAAGTTTATACAAATATAACAATGCTATCTGTTGTTATCCCCATAAATAAAAACTTCTCTCATAATAATTCTAACAATAATGCCAAACGTGAAACGTGGAAGTGGTGTCACTGTTATGGATAAACAATGGCATTAAAAATAATGTGTCAGTAAGATAACATGTCCTTTTTTAAATGATTGAGAAGGTCTATGAAAACTCATCAAGTGACAGAGAGAAAAGGTTGTGCCCCTTTAGTACCCCTTCATGGCTTCCTGTTAAGTTTCCTTTTAAATTCTTCTTTTTTTGGTTTTTAAATCTCTTAATGGTGTTGCCCCTTCTTATTTGTCTGAGGTGCTTCACCCTCACATGCCGTCACCTGTTCCTCAGCTAACCAGATGCGTTTGACTGAAGACATTTAATAAATCCTGAGGAGACAGGAAAGCCTTTGCAGCTTTGGTTCCTAAAATGTGGAATGAGCTTCCTCTGGAGGTCAGACAGGCTCAATCGCTTCTTTTCTCCTTGACTTTTAACCCAGTGTGAGTTGTTATCTGGCTGAAACCTTTATTCTTTATATGTAGCTGTACTGATTTATGGCTTAATTCTTGTTTTCTTTTACAGCACTTTGGTCAGCCGTTATGTTGTTTTAAAGTGGTTTAGAAATATAGTGAAAGTGGAAGGTAAAAGATGAGTGTGTTTCTGGACTGCCTTGAAGAAAGATTTTTTTCTAATTGATATTTTGTTTATTTTTCATAAAATAAAAAGAGTGTCCAGGTCTACAAAAGAGACAAAAATGTTCCCAAAATCACTTTTTAACCTTTTCCCTGGTTAAATACAAATAATAAAAGCATAAATAAATAAATGTAAGGCAGTGATTCTCAAACTTCTCACAATGTGTACCACCTCGTGAAATATATAGCTCTTGTAGTACCACCCTTATGACCGATATTGAAGTACAGTAGTATAGGCCCATTTACAGTGTTGGGAAGGTTACTTTTAAACTGTATTCCACTACAGATTACACAATACATCCCCTTGTATTGTTTCAGAGGAAAACACGAACACAGTGTACAGTCGAGTCTTAATAGCTTACTTACAACTGGGCTCGTCAGGCACTCTTCTTGGCTGCAGTGGTTATTATTATATTTACATGCTTCCAGCTCCTGTTTCTGATGGGTGACAGCTCGTACTTTTCCATTTTCTCCCTCCTCGCTCATAGACACATAATGGTTATGGCAGTCCATTCTCCCTGCAGCACGGACTACACTGCCCATCAGGCTGCATTCTTTAGAGCTATGCTTGTAGCATTCTGCCTGTTGCCTTCATATGAAATAATTTTTTGAACAATAATTTCAAAAAAATATTTCCTCACGTCACTTTGTGGACCACAAATAGAGTTGAGACACAGGCATTAGAGCCTCGTAATGTGTGTTTTGTTTGGGTCACTGGCGTGGAATTACCAAAAAGACCGAGGGCATAGTATAACACATGAAACAGGAAAAGACCATTTATTTCAGCAAAGTAACTGTATTCTAAATACCACCTTTTTAAACAGTAACTGTAACTGAATATAGTTACTCATATTTTGTATTTTAAATACGCTGGTACATGTACTCCGTTACTCCCCAACACTGTATATTTAACACCACAGACAGTTTACACGAGATGATTTTATTTCTTATATGAATGTTATTTATTTTAACTGTCATAAACAGGATGTGACAGGTGACAATAACAACTGTACTGCATTAAAACATTTGCAGCAGGTGGTGCAGCAGTGGACTTCCAATCTTTAAGTGATGACCTGATAAACCCTGCTTCTGGGGCCAAACTACTCTGCATTTATCAACGCTGTTGTGTTTTTCACATGTTTTAATTACTGCTCCCAGCGATTATCTCAGTTGTTCTCCTGACTGATGTTTGGTCCGTTTACAGCATCCTGCCATGCGATTGCATTTGTCCCTAACCGTCAGGAACCCTCACCTTAACTTTTATTGAGTGGAAAAAAGTTCATTCATCCTCCATCTTCACTGTGTTTATGTTATGCTAACATAGCTGTGTTGCTCGCCACCGCATAGCACATTATTATATTTTCTCAGTCAGAACATGCTATATTTTTTAATCTTAAAAAAACTTTGGAGGCTTCCCTTGTACTACTAGAGGACGCCCACATACCACAGTTTGAGAATCACTTTCCTACTGTGTCCTTGTGATAAGCTGAAAGAGGAGGCTTATCCATGTTTATGATCAAACAGCTGATTCTATACTAAGCCTTCAGATCAAACTGATTGATCAGCCATCAGCGGAGTCGGATCAGTGGAGCTGATTCTGTTCCTGATGTCCCCTGTTTGATCCTGGACCTGAACTCTCCCTGCAAAGGAGACACAAGACAGTCAGACACACAAACACACACACATATCTTAGTGGAGCCATCTACTTGACATAATGTTTTCCCTAACCATCTATAAAGATTGACTAAATCTAACCATAGCCTAACTTTAACCTTGCCCACATTTTGAGCCTCAAAAATGCAAATCAAACTCGAGGGGTGTTCCCAAAAGAGACTGTTGGTCCCCACAAGTAAGAGAAAGAGAAAAGAGAAAGAGAAAACCTATATTTTCATACTGACCTTTGACCTTTAATAGCACTGTGGTCTCTCTTAAAATGCTTCTTTCTTTGCTGCTGACATCACAGCTGTATTCTCCACTGTCTCCATCTGTGGGCTGTTTCAGGGTCAGACTGAGGTCTCCAGTTTTCAGCAGGTCGTCATCCATCTTCGTTCGGTCTCTGTAATCCTGGTGCTGTTTGTGAGGCCGGTCAGAGCTGTTCTCATACACGTGGACGATCAGTGGTGGATCCAATTCAGTATGTCTCCACACTATTTCAGCATCTTCAGGCAGGTTTTCTGTGGTTCTAAAGGGCAGCCGGACAAATTCGGCCCCCTCCTCCACCTCCACCTGACAGTCTGAAGGAAAACCACATCATGAGCTGCACAGACAGAAGTGAATCTACAAGGCAGGTTTTTATTTGGTTAATGGTAATGGTTGAATAATGATTTTCAATCACACAAACAGAAATATTTTCTGACATGCACACTGACTCGTCACTATCAGCAGCACCGTTTTCTTCCTCTTCATCCTCTTGTCCTTGACACTGCAGATGTATTTTCCCGTGTCTCTGTCTGAGGGTTTCTTCAGGGTCAGACTGAGGTCTCCAGTCATCTGTGAGTTTGCTTCCATCCTCGTTCGTTCTCTGTAGACCTGGTGCTGTTTGTCTCGCTGGTCAGAGCCCTGCTCATATTTGTGGACTGTAATTGGTGGTTCAGGTTCATAGCGCCACCACTCCACTTCAGCACTGGACAGGTTACCTGTGGTTTTGAAGGGCAGCTGGACAGACTCCGCCCCCTCCTCCACCTCCACCCGACACACTGAAAGACATTCCACCATGTTTTATTCAGCCAGTAGCCACTCTGAATTGACAAGCGTGTTACAACTAGATTTGCTGAATGTGTTTGATTGGATAAGTAAAAACAACATGATTTTAAACGTGTCTAAATCCAAATCCATGTTAATAGGAAGTAGAGTACGCTTAGTCAACAGCCCACAACTAAATCTTTCCATAGCTGGATCGGTATTAGAACAGGTCACCCAGATTAAATTACTTGGTGTTACCATAAACCACCACCTTTCATGGTCTCAGCACATCAACTCTGTTATTAAGAAAATGGGACAGGGCATAGCTATAGCTAGGAAATGCTCTTTTTACATCACTTCTTCAATTATGAAAGATGTCATTAATGCTCTAGTATTATCTCATCTAGAGTACTGCTCAATCATTTGGTCAGCAGCTAATAAGACAGATCTGAACAGACTTCAGTTAGTCCAAAATAGGGCGGCCAGATTAGTGTTAAGGTGTTCATACTATACAAGTATTGATAAAATGCACGATAAATTATACTATGGCTTACTTGTATTTTTAAAGAAAGCAATACTGGTAAACACACCATACTTTTTTTGTGCTCAGTTGCAGCATCCAGATGAAATACATAATCATGCTACACGATTTTCAACTAACCACAATTTAGTAACTCCTCGAGTTAAAAGTAACTTTTTGAAAAACTCTGTTATATTTAGAGCATCTTTTCAGTGGAATAAGTCGCCTTATGCAATTAGAGAATTGGCTTCTATTCATAATTTTAAAAATCACCTAAAAGCCTATTTAGGCAGTTTTTAATGTATTTGTAAAAATTGCAGAGGGTAATGTCACTTGTAATGGAAATTGTGTATTTTGTTTGAGTGTTTTGTTTTGGGTTTCTTTGCTTTTTTTATATAATTTTTTAATATTCACATGTTTACATTTTCAGAATTGTAAAACCTTATTGTGGATCTAAGAGCCAAATTATGTGGACAATTTGCATCCAACTCACTGGGTAACATTTTATTTGGTGGTATTTGATGGTTTGGGCCCCAGGAAGACTAGCAACCACTGTTGTGGAAGCTAATGGGGTTCCTTATAAATAAACAAATAAACAAAAAAAAAAGAACAAGGTCAGTGAGGTCTTTACTGAACCTTACAATATAAAACTCATTGAAGCGACTGTGAACTGACACTACAAACAAAATGTAATTTAAAATATACAGGTGGTAATAATCAGGGGCAAGATTTGTCTACTCAGTCTAAGGAGCTTGGAAAGAAAAGCGTCTGGACTTCTTTAAGTTGCTTGAAGACGTTTCACCTCTCATCCGAGAAGCTTCTTCAGTTCTAAGGTCAAATGGTGGAGAGTCCCAGATATAAACCTAGTGGGAGTTTCCCCCCACAGAGGGACAAAAGGACCCCCTGATGATCCTGTAATCGCCTGAGCCAAGGTGTGAAAATGGGTGTGTTTCACAATCAGCCAGGGTTTTGGGTGAGCTCATTGTGAAACCTTTCCCCACCCTATCATGTGATTTCCTGAGGTCAGATGGCCCAGGATGTGAGTGGGCGTTAAGGTGTCTGGGGAGGGAACTCAAAACTGGATTATAGATGGCAGACAGTTGGTGTCGTAAACCATCGCCTCTGTTCAAGAGTTTTGAGAACCACTTCCCAGACGCCAGCACTCTCAGTAGCAGGAGCAGCAGCAACACCAACATTGTACCCATCAGGTAAAGCATAGGCTACCTTCAGGCTGTAGAAAAAGCTCTCCTAAATCTAACATGCAATGGTGTTTGCTGTAGTGAGTGCTTGTGACAGGAGAACTAAAAGCAGCTGAAACCTATGTTGTGAACCAAATATGTGACTGTGCAGTTAAAAATAAAACAAGTTGGGATCCTTAAATACTCTGTCAGTCTTACTTGATAAGCAAAGCTGTTATTTGGTTTCTTATCTTTGACCTGAACCTTTATTTGTTTCTTCATGAGGATGTTTCCCTCCCACTCAAATCATGCCAGAGGCTTTTATTTTGAAGAAGGATCAAAAGAAATAAACAATTGCAACACATTTAGATGAGCTTGCAAAGTCTCTCGACAGATATTTTCCTACAAGAGATTCAGCATGGGTGAGACAGCCGTTCACGTTTGCTGTTGAGACAGCAGATGTCGATGATGAATACCTTGATGAAATCATTGAAGTTCAGCAGAGCCAGGTTCAACAGCAACTCTTCAGAACAACAACGCTCTCAACGTTTTGGTGTCGACAAATGGACAAATATGTAGTTATTGCTAAGAAAGCCCTGGATTTTTTTTATACCATTTGTTACAACATATCTTTGCGAGCAATCCCTGTCAAGGATGCTGGACATAAAAATGAAGAAAAGGAAGAGACTTTGCTGTGAAAATGACATGAGAGTGGCACTTGCCAAGGTGAAGCCACATCTGAACTGGTCTCTCAAAGGCAACAGCAGAAGTCACACTGATTCGCAGTATGTACATTTGTATGTAATTTGCTGTAAGTTCGTGCATTGTGTTGGTTTTGTTCTTTGAACAAGGTGATGTTCACGCACGGGTCATTTTGTGCACCAAAACATATCTATGTCTTGAATATGAAAAAGAAATCATATTTTATTTTTCACTAAAGAGGGGTTCGGTGCGCATATGAAACTGGTGCCTCCAACGAGGTTAAGAACCAATGATTTAAACACACAGTTGCTCCGCCTGACATTCTTGGCTTTTAGTCAAAACATCAAAGAATTTATTTTATTTGAATGAACTGAAAATAGATTCAAACTAAAAGCTTTTAGAGAATAAACTCCTACATGACCTTTGACCTTTGCCCTGTATCTACAGCACTGACCTCTGACTTTCAGCTCCACTTGTTTCTTCAGCAGGATGTTTCCCTCCCTGCTGTAGACGGTGCAGGTGTAGGTGTAGTGATCCCAGTCTGTGGGGTGTTTCAGGGTCAGACTGAGGTCTCCAGTTTTCAGCAGGTCTTTGTTCATCTTTGTTCGCTCTCTGTAAAACTGGTCCTGTTCTTTAAACTGGTCAGAGCCGTTCTCATACACGTGGACCTTCCTGGTTCGAATGTAAATACAAGTCCACTCCACTTTAGCATCTTCAGGCAGGCGATGTCTGGTTTTGCAGGGCAGCTGGACAGACTCCACCCCATCCTTCACCTCTACACAGGGGACTGAGAGGACAACAAAGCACAATGAGTTGTACAGCCAGTGCAGCAGCGTGAAGTTAAACCTTTTCAGTGAAAACATCTTTGACCAATTCGACTCTGAAATATGTTCCTTTGCTCCACAGTACAGAGTACAGTACAGTGGTGTCTGTCCAATCAGCAGCAGAGCAGACTCTTTACCAGAATCCTTTGTGCCAAATGTACAGAATCAAATCCTTTGTTTGTTTCTGCAGAGTAAAGTTTTTATTTTCATCTTTCAAGGTTTATATTATTTCTTAGAATCTTTCAAAGAAACTGTAGAAGTTACTAGACCATGATTCAACTACACAGACAGCTGGTCACTCGATCTGCTCTCTGAATGCTCAGCTTGTGCTCAAAATGAACTTAAAGAAACGTCTGTTGTGGTTGTTAGGTCTGCACTCGCAGGCCTCGCTAGCTCCGAGACTTATCCCGATGAACAAAGCAAGACAATCAGACCTCGATCGGTTTTTACTTGCGCAAGTGTGGTAATCTCAGAGCTGCAAGCTCGGCACCCAAACTCAGTCAACTTCAACTCCAGCCTCTCCTCGCAGCCTTTTATTAAATGAGTACTTGTAAAATAATGTGTTGTAAGAGCTAAGGCACCGCAAAGCTGTTTAAAAGCCCCTTTGAGGTCCCTGTGTAATCACATAAACCCCAGGCAAAGTGTCCAAAAACGTAGGTAGGGACCTCCTGTATCTGCAGCTCACTCATAAAACCCTGTTCACCATAGTAACCACAGACACATTATTGATGACAGGCTCTTGTTACCGAACTTCACCATTTTCCTATACTGTAAACCTTTGATCTGTATCTTCAGCTCTGACCTTTGACTTTTAGCTTCACTTGCTTCTTCAGCAGGATGCTTCCCTCCCTGCTGCTGACGGTGCAGGTGTATGTGTCCGTGTCTTTGTCTGTGGGGTACTTCAGAGTCAGACTGAGGTTGGCAACTGTCAGCTGTTTTCTCTTCATCTTGGTTCTGTGTGTATATAACCAGTGTTGTTGTTGTTGAGGCTGGTCAGAGTCACTTTGCTGCACATGGACTATCCTTTTAAAGCTGTCAGTCCACATCACTGTAGCGTCTTCAGGCAGGTGAACTGTGGTTATAAAGGGAAGTTCAACAGACTCCACCCCTGAATCCACCTTCACCTGCGGGACTGAGAGGACAACAAACATCATCATCAGCTGCACAGGAAGTCTTTAAGATGCTAAAACATGACGCTGAAAAACTAGTTCATGCATTTATTACTTCCAGGCTGGACGACTGTAATTCATTATTATCAGGATGTCCTAAAACCTCACTGAAAAGCCTTCAGCTAATCCAAAATGCTGCAGCAAGAGTCCTGACAGGGACTAGAAAGAGAGAGCATATTTCTCCTGTTTTGGCTTCCCTTCATTGGCTTCCTGTTAAATCCAGGATTGAATTCAAAATCCTGCTCCTCACATACAAGGTCTTAAATAATCAGGCCCCATCTTATCTTAATGACCTTGTAGTACCATATCACCCTATGAGAGCACTTCACTCTCGCTCTGCAGGCCTACTTGTTGTTCCTAGAGTATTTAAAAGTAGAATGGGAGGCAGAGCCTTCAGTTTTCAGGCCCCTCTTCTGTGGAACCAGCTTCCAGTTTGGATTCGGGAGACAGACACTATCTCTACTTTCAAGATTAGGCTTCAAACTTTCCTTTTTGCTAAAGCATATAGTTAGGGCTGGACCAGGTGACCCTGAATCCTCCCTTAGTTATGCTGCAGTAGATGTAGGCTGCCGGGGGATTCCCATGATGCATTGAGTTTTTCCTTTCCAGTCACCTTTCTCACTCACTGTGTATTAATAGACCTCTCTGCATTGAATCATATCTGTTATTAATCTCTGTCTCTCTTCCACAGCATGTTTTTATCCTGTCTTCCTTCTCTCACCCCAACCGGTCGCAGCAGATGGCCCCGCCCCTCCCTGAGGCTGGTTCTGCCGGAGGTTTCTTCCTAAAAGGGAGTTTTTCCTTCCCACTGTTGCCAAAGTGCTGCTCATAGGGGGTCATATGATTGTTTGGTTATTCTCTGTACCTATTACTGTGCGATCTACTGTACAATATAAAGCGCCTTGAGGTGACTGTTGTTGTGATTTGGTTCTATGTAAATAAAATTGAATTGCATTGAATTGAATTAACCTTTGGCATGTGTCTGCTTGAGTGGAGCAGGGAGTGATTTAAATAGTTACTGTGTATTTTTAGTGTTGTTCCTGAAAGCATTTGTATTATTTTGTGATTATGGTATCTCTGCCCGTTGGTTTAGGTTGGAATCATATTTTTTCTCTTCTCTGTGGGGTTTTATTCAGCTTGTACTGGTGTAACTGGAATCATAGGTGAAGCTCATTGGACTTTATATGTATTCCATTTATCATTCATCCTAGGTACCGAAGTGACACAGCACCACACAAAAGCCCCTCATGTCTTCATATCTTGGGAAATCGGTGGAGCGATTTAGTTAAATATGTGCAAAGTATTTAAGGCAAAAACAGAAGATCTTGAATGTCTTGATCTTGAAGGTCAATATTTGACATTTTTGATATTTTTGTCATTTTTACATGACCACCTTTATTCTTTAGCACAGTCTGAACTGTGTTAGGCAGCTTTTTGCAGTGTTCAGGAGTAGTTCTCCAGGACTTTTGAAGGACATTGTGATTTAAAAAAAGAAAAATCCAGAAATGCTTTTACTGCACTGGCAGCGAGTTCAGTTCTTCTGTATCAAGAATGGCTACCTGACAGCTGCCCTCCCATTGAGACCATTTCTGATGATGCTTTAATGGACGACTTTCTACTTACGTGTTACAGCTTCCAAAATCACAGCATTCTTAGATAGCTGGAAACAGGACAGAAGATCAAGTGTTTAAATGTCTTCAAGAGTTTTTTGGATTTTTTTGGCAAGTTGTGCTGCTGTGTCTGCCTTTTTATGACAGGGTAAAGCACAACTCCCAGTACCCCCCACTGCCCATGGCCTTGAATAACAACAATAAAAGCAGAATTTCTCTGAAAATACAAACAGTAAACTTAAAATGAGTGATGCTTGTTTCATGATGCTCCAGATGTTCTAAGCTGGTAAAAGCTTTGAACTGCAAGCAGACCAGTTCAGGACCTGAACTCTTCCCTGCTATTTTATCAGATGCTGTTTAGTATGATGTTACTGAGATATGTAAGGCCTTCACTTAAGAAGACATCATATCAATTGGAGCATTTGTTGTTGTATAACCTGTAAATACCTTTGAGCACCTTTCCAGATGTGGAAGCACTATTACATACCATCAGAGATCAGGTTTTGTAAGTGAGCTCTAATAACAAGTCAGATGCCTCCTTTTGAGGGTGCAGTGTCCATGTTGTTCCCATAATCCTAAAATTTAATCCGTCTGACCACAGAATAGTTTTCGACTTTTTACTGACATTTGCCCCAAAGAAGAATAGCAGTGTCTCTGGATCATGTTCACATGCGCTGTTTTCTTTGCATGATACAGCTTTAACCTGCATGTGTGCATGGCATAGTCAAGTGTGTTGCAGTAATATCTGTAAACGTTTCAAAGCTCATGAACTGCCTGAGGGCACAAGGATCGCAGGTACCCAGGACTGATTTTCAGCCTTGTTGCTGTGCACAGAGATTGCTCCTGATTCTCTTAAACCTTTGGCGATGTTATGTGCCGTAAATGATGAGATATTTATAGTTTTCAGAATTCTGTCCCGAGAAACATTGCAATTATTTTGTAATTGTTTTTGCAAACTCTGAACATCTTTACTTCGGGTAACTCTGCCTCTCTTAATACTCAACAATGTTATTGACCTGTTGCCAATTAGCCTAATTCAGTTAAATGTTAGTTAAATAATTATACAGATGTTTCATTTTTCGCTTTTTGTTGCTGCAACTTTTTGGAAAATTGTTACTGCCATCGAATTCAAACCTTTATTAAAATTGTACATTTTCTCAGGCTGCTGGTTCCCTTAAGAACATGGCTGGATAAATCTGAGGTCAAGATCACTAACCACCATTATTTAAAATTGGAAATTTGACCACATCACACATGTGACAAATCACTTACCTTTCACAAAATAGTGTCTGAAGTACATGCCTCCACCCACAATTAAGAAAGCAGCCAAATTCAAGAAAACCAGGAGAACTGTGACCCTGCTGCGAGCTGACAACAAAAATGTGAACAAAAACAGGAAAATTGTGTGATGTTAAAATAATGCTGCAGAATCTCTAACGCTGCACGTGATTTTTCATTTGTTTGCACTGACCTCCACCTGTGGCCCTCTGGACCTGCAGCTGCACTGTTGCCTGACCCTGTTCAATACCAGACTTGCGGGCGGTGCAGGTGTAGTTGCCACTATCAGACAGTTGAAGATTTTTCAGAGTGAGGCTGAGGTTTCCAGTTTCCAGAGCATCAGTATTCATGGATGTTCGCCCGCTGTAATGCTGGTTTTGGTTCTGAAGGTTATCACCTTCCGGTTCACGCAGGTGAACTGTGGGTGGGTTGAGGTCGGACCGGCTCCACACAACTGCGCATTCTTTCACATTAACACTGAAAAACTTACACGGCAGCAGGACAAACTCTGCTCCCTCCTGCACCTTCACACTTGAGGCATGCTGGGAAACTGTGAGGACAGGAAGAGTTTAAACCTGAAATCATTCCCACACTTTATTATGACAGCAGGAAACTTATTACAGGCTGAAGTAGACACAGACACAATGCAGCAGTTCCAGTGATGCACACCGGCTGATTTCATGAAATCATGTTGATTCAGTGTTTTTTTTTATTAGTTTAGATAAGTAAGGACATTATTCCTGAGACATGACCAAAGTGGCTGCTGTTTCATAACTGTCACAAAACCCGTGAGACCAGTTACACTGTCATGGTGGCTAGATGAAAACAGCCAAGTGCATCAGCTTAGAGGGACTCGAGCTGATAACAGAACAGATAGAGACCATTTTTGTCTCACTGCTTCAGTGAGAGAAGACATTTAAGATAAAGTTACGCTGGTTCGGATAATCTCGACTGCAACAGCATGTGGCAGTTGAGACCTCACCTTGTTTATGAATGCACACAAACCTGTCTGACTGTGTGTGGCTCTGTGTGTCTCTGCAAGTGTGACATTAATGGAGCTTGGATCGTGAGAACAGAGGCAGATTTTCTTACCGTGCAGGAGGATCACAAACACCAACAGGGTCTTCATCTTTCTGTAAAAACAGCAAATAGCTAAAACCTTTCCTTCAGTCGTCTTCTGCCTGAGGAAATCAGCAGTAGATCCACAGACATAATCCACCTGCTCCTCACCTTAAACGAACACACCTTCAATTTTTTTCATTCAGGAAGAGGAAACACTTGTTCAGAGGGAGGACGGGACTGTTCACGCACCTCCAGCCAGTAAAGACGACGACAAGAGAAACAAAGCAAATAAAGAGAAAAGAAACGTGAGTCAGGACCAGTTTAAATTTTAATCATCACGTCAGACTAAAGTGAAATATTATCTCTTTGTTTCCTCGTATACTTCCACATATGATAAATGTGAATACAGAACATAATAATAATCATAATAATAATAAATTATGTTTTATTACTGTCTACCAGCAGCAGCTTCACAGCCCAACAGGGGGCCCACACACTGTTATTTGCAGACTACATGAAAGGCTGGTGGTGAAATGTGAGTCTATTCAGTGACAGACAGAAGCTGAGCAGGTAACACTTTCTAATGAAAACATAACAACCAATGCTGGTTATTTATATAATATGGCTAATTCAACTTTGTACTGCTGATAAAACCAAGAGGACAGGTTTAAAATACTTCCCCCAACAGCAGCCGTCACTATAAAGGTAACTGTGGTTAGTATCTGCAAGAAAATACAGATGCTAGCAACAGTTAACTTTATAATAACAATAGCTAACTTCAATTCAGCAATAAACAATATTATTATTATCATTAGAAAAGAACAGGAGTGATGTACTGGTAACACAGTGTAAGAGTAACAGTATTTAGAATATTAGTAGTTATTAATTATATTTTAGTCAAGATCAAGTATTACCCTTCCACCTCTAACAGTGATGATATATTAGTTTAGGATTAACAAATATTGTAGTTTGTATTCTTTCTTTGCATGTTAGAGGTTTAAATAACAATATTTATTCAGTTTTCTGTGGAAAGGCAAAGAGGGAACTGCACATCTCGTTCAGTAACTATAAAAGAAAAAGTTTCCTCTGTGTTGCTGTGAAAATCACTCATTCAGTTCAGCAGCTCAGCCTCACTCTGCAGAAGCAGCGTGCCAAGCTGATGATGTTAAGAGGGAAGTAGTGAAGGTGATGATGTCGCTCTGCTGTCAGTCATCATCCCGACAACATGAAGACTGCATCTGCTCCTCTGTGAGTCACTGAAATCCTTCACTGATCTTTTTCATCGATTCATTGATAGCAGCTCTAATAAACACTCTTGGATGCTCTCACTGTCTGACTGCTTGTTTTAGGTGAGAGGATCAGTTCACTCTTCTTCTCTTGTATTACAGGTTTCATCTGAGAGCAGTCTGTGATTGGAGCCAGGAAGAGATATTATTGGCTTATAATAGAGCTTCCAGACCTTCTGCAGTTTATTCTGGAGTAATGCATTAGTAACGTCCACCATGTAATCTGGACTGTCATAATAAATTGAGGCCTCATGCCCAGTTAGTGACTGTAACATGAAGTCAGATGACCTCTTTTCATCAAACATGCAGGGTCAGGAAACCACAGCTGCTGGCTGCATGTGCCACAGATTCTTCTGCCTGTTTTGTAGTCTTCACTTCCTCTATTAGAAGCACATTTTCCACAGTGAGTCAAACCAAAGAAATGGAGACTGTTTTTGGTAAAATCAGGTTTCTTTTTGCATGTTTGGTTATTTTTCTGGTGCTGAGTTCTAAAGAGCAGCAGAGTGCAATTTAGCCCTAAACTTGTAAATAAAAACCACTTTAAGAGATTTTGATGCACGCTCAATCATTCAGGTAAGTCTCCAAAAGTTGATTCTGTTCATCTGGACGTAGCATTTTCAGTCAGAGAAACGTTTCATCATCCAGGTGACGTCTTCAGTCTCAGCTGACTGCAGCTTTCAATCTTATAAACAGTACATTTGCATAATGACTGAAACCAGCCCACTGATGGAACAATGGGCCGGGAGGTCAGCTCCTTAATCTTAATTATGCACATTCTCATGACCATTGATCAACAACCACTGATCAATGGTCATGAGTACCATTCACAGAGAGTTGGGGAATGGCAACAACATTAACATCTTTCCACCAGGGTAGGTGCACAGTTTTGCTAAAGCAGAAAGACTATCATGAGAATATTTTGTCCCTGCTCAGTGACGAAAATGCTTATGAGCCCCTGACCTCATACCACAGACTATACCAAGGGGAACCTACACCAACTCTCTATGGTTTACTGAAGATACATAAACAACCTCATAAACAACCTCACCTCAACCTCAGCAACAGGACCGCTCTCAGCATCGACCAAGTGTGTTTGCTTTTGGAGCTGTGTCTTCATTCCACCTACTTCACATACAAGGGTCAGTTCTACAGGCAGAAACATGGGTGTGCCATGGGTTCCCCAGTTTCACCCATCGTGGCCAATTTGTACATGGAAGAAGTGGAAAAGAGGGCTTTGCCATCCTACCCTGGAACACCACCAAGCCATTGGTTCAGATATGTGGATGACACCTGGGTGAAAATCCAATCTCAGGGCGTTCCACAACTCACGGATCACATTAAGTCGGTGGACCGACACATCAAATTCACCAGGGAGGATATGAAAAGTGGCAGGTTAGCCTTCTTAGACTGTGAGATTTCCATCAGGAATGGGGGCCATCTAAAAGCTGACGTGTACCATAAACCTACACATACAGATCAGTATTAAAGTTTGATTCTCATCATCCACTGGAGCACAAACTGGGTGTCATCAGGACGCTACAACACAGAGCGAACACCATCCCCACTGACACAGCAGCCAGGGAGGCAGAAGAACATCACATCAAGAAGGCCCTGAGTAAATGTGGTTATCCCAGCTGGACTTTTGTCAAAGCTGGGAAGCCACCTAAAGAAAGCTCCAGCCGATCCAGGAGAGAAGGACAACTGCTGCCCAAGCGAAAACCTGTAGTGATCCCGTATGTGTCAGGAGTATCGGAGCAGTTGAGACGCATTTTTTCTAAACACTGGGTCTCTGTGTCTCTGTTAAAGAGCTCCTCAATACACTACTTGTACTTCAGCTTGGCCTCTTTGATGACCAGAGTCACTGTGCCCCTTTGTAAGCCTGCAAGTCCCCAAATTTGAGACAACAGACTGGGACCAGAAAAAGTAGCTGCATATATCATTCATATGGACTGAAACAGTGAGGGTTACCGTGAACATGACTCATGCAGTTTATCAGGGAAGCGGCTCAGCCTCGCTCTGCACAAGCAGTGTCACAAGCTGATGATCTTGACAGGGAAGTGGTGAAGCTGAAGGTGTCACTCTGCTGCCAGTCGTCGTCCCGACAACATGAAGACTTCATCTGTGTCTCTGCTCCTCGGTGAGTCAAACGCTGAAAAACTTTTCATGCTTACTTTCAGTCATGTATTCATTTATCACCGCGTCATCACACAATAAAGTGGGAAAACACGTTTTCAGCAGGAGGAAGCTTTTGCTGAGGGTGGATCTGCTTAAAGTTTGTTTCATTTAGGAGAGAGGAGGAGTTCGCTCTTTTTCTGTTGCTTGTTTTCTAGTAGGGCTAAAGTAATTTAATTAAAAGTCATTGAAAATAGACAGTGATGCAGCTCACACTTTAACTCAGAGGCATCTAATGAAATAAATTCTTTCACGCAAGCATGAAGCAGGAAAGTGTGCTTACATCATGACTTTGTCTCATCAACAGATGTGGATACAAATGAGTTCTAAGCAGGAAAACCTTTTTTGTGATCCATCATGTAATTTGGACTCAGATTTAGAGCTTCATGTTAAGCTCTGTCACTGTCACTGTCTGTAACATGATGACTTAAGGAGAAGTCGGGCAACCTCATTTCTTCGAACATCGACGTTCATTCAGGAAACCACAGCTGCTAGTTGCACTCACCACACGTTTGTCTTATCTGCCTATTATGTAGCCTTCACTTCCTTTAATAAGAGCAAATTTTCCACTATAAACACAGAGTCTAACAAAAGACTGGAGACTGTTTTGGTCATTTCCCTCAGAGTTTGTATGTTTTGTTGTTTTTCTGGTGATGAGCTTCAAACAGCAGCAGATTGAGACTCAAATAGAACCTAATAAAATCAGTGAAGCTATTCATTGCTCATGTCATCCATCAGGGAGTTACTTTAATATCATTACATTGTTTGCTTTTAGTAAATGTGGAAATTGAATATGAATTCATTTTATGTTTTTCTTTTCTTTTTTATTTCTTAATACCTAACTGCTGCACCTGTACTGCCCGTATCTCTGCAGATATACTGTATAGCCACTCAAAACTGATGTTCAGATAAGAGGGTGGGAGCCGCCTGTTTTCTCTCTCCATTATAATCCCTGACAATTTTATTAGTTTGGGCGACCTTTACATGTAGGTTGTTGGGATCACAGCAGAGATAGAACAGAGGGGACATGGTGTTTGTTAAATGTCCGAATGGCCCAGGTGGAAGAAGCTGTTAGTGAATCTGGAGATGTGGGACCTGAGGTACCAACATACAACACTGTAAAAAATGACAGATGCCACCAAAGAGTCACAGAAGGTCTTCAAAGCGCTCCCTGGACTCCAAATGACCTCAGCCGCCTCAGCAACTGCGTTTTCTAAGGACAGCGCTAGCAAACGCTCTCCGCTTGCGAGTGAAAAAGAAAAAACACCCCTTCCCTTCCTTATTCATGTTGAAGTGTACCATGTCCACCAATCAAAAAATGATATGGCAACATGAGGCGTTTGGTTGTTTAGGAAGAGGGAGAAGTTTTAGGAGTGACACCAATGAGAGAGAGCGAAAGAAAGAGAGAGAGCGAGTTTTCACATGTGAGAGATTAGTGACGTTTAGTGTGTTTGGAGGCTGTAGTTAGTGTGTTATGCAGTTATTGGGTTTTTGTGAGTTATACTAGTGAATGTCACAGGTGCTCCTGCTGTCAGACCTTGTGGTGTTCTCCTCTGTTTTATAGTGGACAGGACCTATTTTTTGGGAGTTGCATGAATACTTTGTGTGCCTTCTTATTTGATGCAACACACCTGATTGTTCTGTAAATAGTTTGAAATGATTGTGCAAAAAACTCTGAGGCCTTGGCTGCATTTTGGGGTAAATAGCAACATTTTACTTTGTTGTTTGCATCATTTTTAAAAATGTATCATTTCTATTTGCATTTCAAGTTATGAAAGGTATTCATTAAACATGTTTATGTTTTAACTGTTTTCCACTCGGAGTATACAAGAGGTTGAAGATACTATTACATACGGAGAGAACTCCACACCGGGTGTAGGCTTGCATAACTAAGAAACTATTTGAGGAAATTTTGTGGAGTTTGAGGTTGGACTCGGCTGCACATGTGTGCTTAAGCCGATCGATGGCTGCAGACTCTGTGGGAACTGAAATCAGCCCGTCATCGATGCAGAAGTGTCTCTCGACAAAGTGTCTTGTGTCTGCTCCAAAGTTTGTCTCGCCTTCCCAGGTGGCACCCGGGCGTGGTCTTCCTGCACTTTGTCACATGAGTAGAAGTAATCAACAACTTTCTATTCATTTTTATTCTTATGAGCACGAGAGAGAAAGCGAGAGGGGGGGGCAGGTACACAGTCACTAAAGATAAATAGCACAGCATTTAGTTGAATAGACGTTAAAAGAGAAGGTGTTTCAACAGCTGTTGTCTACACTCTTGACACAGGAGAACAGAAGACTTCACCACCAGGACCTCCCCACCAACTGGGTGTCACCAACTTTCTCACAACACCTCACTGTGACCTACACAGATAACCAGTGTGCAGCTTTGAAATATAACATCCAGAGTCTATGTGACAAATGGCTAAACAAGTGGCATCATAGCAGGGTGAAGGGTGAACATGGTAACATAGAAGATGCTCTCCCAGGCCTATTACTGCCTTCTGGTCATAATTTCCACTCTCTTTCAGTGACCTCTCACCTTTAATATCCTATGACCTTCATTGACCTCTGACCTCCTGTTGCAGGTGTGTGTGTGCTGCTGCTGTCTGCACTGACTGTTTGTGCAGGTGAGTAGATGAAGTGCACCATGGTCCAGGACAAACACTGAGTGTAAACACTGATAGAAACTGTCCGTCTGTCCTCCAGTCTCTCTGAGCGTCAGTCCAAACCTTCAGCAGTTCTTCACAGCAGCCTCAGTGTCTCTGACATGTGACGGTCAGCTGGGCTCTGATGGATGGACGGTGAAGAGGGACACAGGAAGTGCGACTGAGTCATGTGGAGCAGGTGGGCGGGGCTTTGGGAGGATAAATGGTCCATCCTGTTTGTTTGATGAGTTCAAGCCAATCAGTGGAGTTTACTGGTGTGAAGGTGAAGCTGGAGAGAAGAGTGAAGAAGTCAACATCACTGTATCAGGTAATGAAGTCATTCATTTCATCAGACTAACAGCAGACTGTTATACCACCTCTACATCACTCTGTGGGTCTTTTCCTTAGATAAACATGTGATCCTGGAGATCCCTGCACTTCCTGTGAGGACAGGAAGTGATGTCACACTACGCTGTAAAAAGAAAATTGGTGGCACAGCTGCAGCTTATTTCTACTTTAATGGACGTCCTGTTGGACCTAAATCAGAGCACATAATCACCATTAACGTGCAGCAGTCTGATGAAGGTCTGTATTGGTGTTCTACTGATGAGTTTGGATCATCTCCTCAGAGCTTTCTGAGGGTCAGAGGTCAGAACACTGACATCACTTCCTGTTTAAAGCAAACCTGCTGAGCTGATGATAAACTGACTGAACCAGCTTCCTCATCTCTCCTGCAGGTCCTCCAACCACAGCCTCCGTTACAACAACAAAAGAAGAAACAACAACCATAACGTCACTGACAAACACTCATATCTCCTCTTCTTCTACCCTTCTTTCTCCTCCCCCTTCTCCCTCTCCCCCCTCCTCCCTCATATCCCCAATTGTAGCTGCTATAGGTTCCCTGGTGCTATTGGTTCTGGTTCTGTTTGTACTTCATCTTCTGTGGAAGAAGCGCACAGGTATGGCGTCTGTCTCAAATTTTCATCCAAAGTCATCATGTTGGACACATCAAGACAGCCTCCATCAGCGTTTCTATTTTCAGAACACTTAGAAAGTAGATTCAGACTAAAACTCCACAGACACAAATACTAGTATTCTTTCAGATCACTTCATCTTTGCAGGGAGATACCAGTCAGCTCCAGTAAATGATGTCACCTATGCTGAGGTCACCAGTAGAGCCTGGACCAATAAGACTCCAGCCAGCGAACCTGAAGTACTTTACTCCAGTCTGAGGACAAACACTGCAGGTACACATTCACCTGTGTTCTAGCGAGGGACATCAATGAGAGATAAACCCAAAAGTAGTTTTCATTGGGCTTGTAAAATGTGCTCAATGAAACAATGAGAATCTTCTTCTCACATTTATCAAACTAGTGTTTTGAAAGTGGGATTGACAGCAGGTGCAGTTCACTCTTCAGGTTCCTGTTTCCTCAGTAAAACCTGTCACTGGTTTCATAATTAAAGCTGTACTGTGGTTTCGTTGGTCAGTTCAGTGTTTATAACATGAGGCAGTCAGCAGAGAGAGATGTGGCACTGAGACAGGAAATCCTGCAGCTTAAACAGATATGATCGGTGTTTGATGGGAGTAAATTCAGGTTTGTGTGAATGACACAGTGTAACAGGAGCTGTCGGCCTGAACTGAAGATTGAAAATAATTTGAGCGGATTTGGTTTGTTTTTAATCCAGATGTATCTTTTCAAAAATAAATCGGAGAAGCACACGTTGGACAGTTTAATAAAAATACTGTACAAACCAGCAAACCAGCAAAATTAGGAAAATAACAACCAGTACAAGGTGAGAATGTACTGCTCGCGTTCTGACTCTAATCTGAGGAGCAAAAACACATTTTAAGACATTATTTAAAGACAGGCAGCGAGTGGGCTGAACTAACGAGGGCAGGGTGATGCTTCCACAGTTTAGGCTACAGCTGAAAAAGCCCAGTCAGCTCTCACTTTGAGTCACGTTTTTGGGACTAGCAGGAGAAGCTAGTTCAGTGACCACATTATTTCTTTTATTGCCATGTAAATCTGAGGGTTATACACAGTAGTAGCAGTAATCAGATGTAAAAGCAGATAAATGGTGAAGTCACCTGAGTCAGTAGCTGTTTTTTCCCAGAGTCGAGTGTTCATTCACCCAAATCAAAACAGGTGCTGCTCGTGTGGTTAACTGATGAGAGAAGCTGAAGTCTCTGCGTGACAGGGCTTCCTTGTTGACACCAGTGGGAAATGATCAAAGGTAAAACAACCGGTGTGATAAACCACGAAGTGTTTTATGTGTTTAAGTTCAGTCTAGCAGCTATTTGAATGTTGTGGACTCTGTAGAGATAAACAGTGTCTGAGAGTAGAGAGAGTGCATGTCAGCAGATACCGGTGCTGAGATACAGGACTGAACAAAGGAAGATGTAAAGTTACCACACAGCAAAAGATGTTCTTAACTTTGTTTCTTGTCTTCATCTCTTTGTGTGACTAGTGTTTAAAGTGAAACAAAATGAGTTCTTTTTCAGAGAGAGATTCATGAAGCCCCTCACAACGTCTTCATAAGAATTAAGATTTCTCTGCAGGATTATTATTAAATGAAAACAATATATATTTGAATTCAGTTCAGCAGGCAAACAGGGTTGATGGGAAATCCAAGTTCAGTGAGTTGTAAATAAAACCCAGATATTCAGTCACTCATTGGCATGTTCTTGTCTTGATGATGTCATCCCAAAAACACACATGACCAATGCTGATATCATCACTCAGACCCCTGAGAACACAGGTAGGGAGGCTGCACCTATATGACTCATGTCCCAGTGTTATTACATGCTGAACTATCGGGGCGACTGTGGTTCAGTGGATTGGGAAGCTCCTCTATAAGTGGAAGGTCGCCGGTTCGATCCCTCCTGCTCTCTCTCTGTCCTGGTCGTTGTGTCCTTGGGCAAGACACTTCCCCTGCCGCCTACTGGTGTTGGCCAGAGGGGCCGATGGTGCGATATGGCAGCCTTGCTTCTGTCAGTCTGCCCCCGGGCAGCTGTGGCTACAACTGTAGCTGCCTCCACCAGTGTGTGAGAGTGACTGTGGAACTGTACTTTGGGTGCCTAGAAAAGTGTTATATAAATGCAATCCATCATTAACTTTTTTCTCTTTAAGCTTCAGTTTAAAAATTAGGTTTAAAATTCCATATATTTGTATATATATGTATATACATATACATTTTAATTAGGTTTTAAAGTTGGTAGGACAATAAATGCCTCACCCTTCTCGTGACCTGCACCATGACTGCACACTCAACTGTCCCATTTTTACAGAAGCTAAAGGAACCACAGACACCACAGAAGAAGTGTAAACAGGAAGCTGAGGACAGACCTGCAGACTTCCTGTGGACAGTCTCACTCTGTCAGTCACCATGGGAACATTTACAGGCAGTCATCAGCTTCCTCCTTTCTTCATTCACTCCCATTCATTCACACAGTGATGTCATTGTGGGAGCAAGTTCCTCCTGAGGAACCAGGATTGACGGGGAACTAAAGAAATCGACCTGCTGCTGGTTTGAGTCTGTGCAGCTTGAACTCTGACAAAGGTCTACTGCGAGGTGAAGAGTTGTCACTTTCAGGAGCTGCTTCCATCATTTCAAACTGATCAATACTCTGAACTTATGAACACTCATGTTTGACACAGAGTGTCCTGTGATGGTCCTCAGTCTTTGAGCTAGTTTTTGTGTTTGTTATGGACTATGTGTTTATTTGTTCTCTTGTTTCAGTGACCTTTGTTCTGGTTCTATATTGGTGTCTCTTGAGCTCAGGTTCCCTTATTTGTCAGAGTCGTCATTATTTATATTTCTTATTCTCTATTTCTTGTTGTTCATGTTTATTTCCTTCGTGTCCAGTCTGTGCCAGCCTCTTCTCTGTGTTTTGTTATTCTTTCAGTCTCCCCGCTCACGTACCTGCGTTTGTCTGTTTTCTCTGTGTTCTGTCTCATTGTGTTTGTAATCCCATCCCTGTGTTTAAGTCCTCAGTCTCCCTCGTGCCTGTTTTGCTGTGTTCTTCTGTGAGTATCTTCTAACATTAATAACGCTGCCTCTTTTAGCCGACCCCTTTGTTTCCAAGTCCTGCATTTGGGTCTTGCCTCTGCCTGCCACACAGCTGTTCATGACAGGCACAGAAAACGATTTTGAGCCTAGAAGTAATAAATGCATGAACTTGTTTTTCAGCATCACTCTGAGACAGGATATTTCTAATTTTAGAGATGTTGCTCAGATGGAAGAAAGCAGTCCTACATATTTGTTTAATATGTGCATTAAAGGACATATCCTGGTTAAAAATGACTGGTTTCATCTCAAAGCTGGCCAGTTGGACAGGAAACAAAACAAGATGTTATTTACATATGAGCATCACACTTTACCTGAAATACACAAAGAATCTTTCTAATAATAGAAAACAGTTTCAAACCTGCAGGATTAAAGTGATGAAAGTTTGTGATTTAAATTTGTCTCATAAACGTCCAAAACCTGCTGAAGGTTCAGTTCAGTTAGTATCTGTAACATGACGACTGAACATGAAGGCAGACGACCTCTTTTCATCAAACAGGAAACCACAGCTGCTGTGTTTAGCATCGCTACTTCTGACTGGGTCTGTTATGTAGACGATGTTTCCTCTATTAAGAACAAATTTTCCACTGTGTGGACAGAGTCGATAATCGTCCTGTGTCTCTCAGAGTTTCATTGTTTGGTTTTCAGTCTAAATGTTGCCATCAGTCACTGTCAGTTTGGGCACCGAACCTTAAACACGCATGTCAAAAATAAATCTACATTAGTAATGCATAAACAGCAAACCAGCAGGATCTCTCTGTGCACTGTGAACACTGACTGAGGCTCATGTGATGCAGTGGGTTGTCTTCTAAATGTGTCTTCTTGTCTGCATGCTGAAGTATTCTTAGGCAAGATACTGAACCCCAAATTTCTTCTGACGCCTCCATCCAAACGTGAGTGTTTGATAAAGGTGCTTAGAAAGCAGTGTGTGAATAGCTGAGTCTTGAGTGCTCAGCTGGATTAGAGCAGTAGCAGCAGTTCGTTTACACAAACAACCAGTTGCTTACATGTATAAATGATGATCAGTGAACTGCCATCACTCGTGGTTGAAGCATTTCTTATGTAGAGCCAGAAAATAAACCACAAGCTTGAACACTATTTTTACTGACCTTTATCTGTGTAGCCTTCCTGTATTGAGCTTGGCAAGGACTAAAATAATTTCCCAGCATTATTTTTCCAACTAATTGTTTTTTTGCTTTAGTTACACTCCAAATAACAGCTGACATGGCATTTCAGACTTTTGCTGTAATCAAATTTGTAAACTTGTATTTAAGTTGGTAGATAAGCTACATGTGTGCAGAAAGCACTGAAATAGATTCCTTTGTGATAGTAAAGTATTAATTGTTACTGATGTTCAATCTTGATCCCTTTGTGCAAAAGGAAGAAATGTATGTGCATTTTTCCACATGCATTTTGTTAATGTTGTGTCAAAGAGTTACACATTTATAATATTTGATAGATAGCTGTGTATTTTTGTAGTTCTGTGCACAAGTTTGGATTGAACCCTCTGATTTAATCTAAAATAATACTCTGTGTTCTTTTGTTAGGCCAACATGAAAGACAAATAATTATCTTCAAAAAACTTGTTGGAGAATTAAAATTGTAAGAAATGGAAATCAGATCTCTCAGCTACATCTGTGTGAGGTACTATGGGAACGTGTGATTTCAGGCTGTAGATAACAGATTTCTAAGAGGTTTCGTTAGAAGATGTAGGAGGTTACCCTGTAACTCTACAGACGTGAGGTGGGCTCGTCCAGGATTTGAACCCGGGACCTCTCGCACCCTAAGCAAGAATCATACCGCTAGACCAACGAGCCACATAAACGCCGTCACCAACTTCTTTTCTGAAAGTCACACATCAGAGCACGTAGCTGAAGCTGAATATATGAAACATTGTCTTGAAAGCTGCCAGTCAAAAGTCTGGAAACACATCGCCGTGGTTTTTCCACATTGTGGACACAAACAGTTTCAGGACATCAGCTCAGAGCAACGGTCATTTTAAAGAACTTGCCTCATTCAACCAGACAAGCACTTTGTCCATGCTTTAGTGCTTTCTAGCTAAGATATGCTAACATTCATTCTTTGCATCAGAGAGCAACTTGGGGTGTTAATCTACCAACTCAGGAGGTAAAGCAGATCATTTCCCAGTTGGAAAATTGATGGGATCATTTCCTGGATGCTCCAGTCTGCATATCCATGGACAAGTCATCTTTTCATTTCCAGTCAATTTTATTCATATAGCGACCAATCACAATAACAACCACCTTTATATTGTAAGGTAGACCCTACAGAGAAAAACCGAACAATCATATGATCATCTGACCAGACCATATTTCACTGGCTTCTCTAAATGTTCAGCAAACTTTAAATGCTCTTTTTCTTCAGCAATGGCACCATGGATGGTGACCTACATGCCATGCCTTCTTGAAACAATTGTACCTGCTGATTCCAGGTTTTTCTCTAGCACCTTGGCTCTTCAACGACTCTTCTGATCATTATTATATATGGTGAAATGATGTTCTTTCCACCTCTGCATTAAGAACCCAACAGTGCTCACTAGAACCTTCAGTAGTTTAGAACCAATACCTTCAGTATGTTTTGCAACAATACGGTTGTGAAGGTTTTGAGACAGCTCACTGGTTTACCCATCATGAGATGTTTCTTTTGTGACACTTTGGTAATGACACAGATCTTTATAGGTCATCAGTTGGGACTGAACCTACTAATATTAATTTGTAATAACTGTCAGGATGGCTTTCAATTATTGATAAATTTCATTTGCCATGAATCATGATTTCCTATGTCTCATTGCACCTTCCTTTTGTTTTTCTCTGTTATTTCTCATTATTACACGTTAACCCCTGACCTGAACTTTCAAAGGTGAGTGATAAAACATTAATTGAATTACAATATTATACAAAGAACAGAAGTAAATACAAAATGCAGTTTCTAAATAAATGTGTTTATTATTAAGGGGAAAAACCCAAACCTAGATGAACATGTCAGAAAAAGCTATTGCCCCTGAATTTAATAAATAACTGCAACCAAGCATTTGTAACAACCTGCAATAAATCTTTAACAGCACTGTGGAGGATTTTCAGCCCACTCACTGTTGCAGAATTGTTGTAATTTAGCCACATTGCTGGGTTTTCAAGCATGAACCACCTTTTTAAGGTCATGTCACAGCATATAAATCAGATTCAGGTATGAACTTTGACTTATTTGGGTGTTTTGCATAATTATCCGGCTGCAGAAACCAAGTGCGCTTCAGGTCAGATGAGAACGGATGGCCAGATAGTCTCCTAAAGAATTGTTTCTTTAAGAGGGCCGAATTCATGGTTCCATTTAGGGAGGCAAGTCTTGCAGGTCCCGAGGCAGCAAAACAGCCTCAGACTATCAGACTATCACCACCATATTTTACTGTTGGTATGAGCTTCCTTTTCTGAAATGCAGTGTGTAATGACACACACTCATCAGTCCAGGGTTTTTTTCCCCAAAAGTCTTGGAACTCTGCCACGCAGGCTGGTGTGCTCCAGTCCCTTTCTTAAAGTGTAGTCATGAGAAAGGGACTTTAATTTTAGCTTGAACTAAAAGCTGATCCTAAACTAAGCACAGATCAAACTGATTGATCAGCCATCAGAGGAGTCGGATCAATGGAGCTGCTTCTGTTCCTGATGTCCCCTGTTTGATCCTGGACCTGAACTCTCCCTGCAGAGACAAGACAGTCAGACAGGGACAGACAACAAGAGACAAACTTATATTTTTATACTGACCTTTGACCTTTAATAGCACCGTGGTCTCTCTTGAAATGCTTCTTTCTTTGCTGCAGACATTACAGATGTATTCTCCACTGTCTCTCTCTGTGGGCTGTTTCAGGGTCAGACTGAGGTCTCCAGTTTTCAGCAGGTCTTCATTCATCTTCGTTCGGTCTCTGTAAACCTGGTGCTGTTTGTGAGGCTGGTCAGAGCCGTTCTTATACAGGTGAACCAACACTGATGGTACAGGGTCAATGCGTTTCCACATCACTGTAGCATCTTCAGGCAGGTTTTGTGTGGTTGTGAAGGGCAGCCGGACAGACTCCGCCCCCTCCTCCACCTCCACCACACAGTCTGAGAGGACAACAAACACAACATGAGCTGTACAGACAGCAGTGAATCTAGAAAACACCTTATTAAGCTTCTTTATGCTGCAGTCTGATATTTACATTTAATTATTGTTGTTGTCATTGTCATTTTTTAAACAAATACACTGTAAGAAATATTTCATAGGTATTTGCACTGACTCATCACTCTCAGCAGAACTGTTTTCTTTCTCTTGATCCCTTTCCCCTCAACTCTGCAGATGTACTTTCCAGTGTCTCTGTCTGTGGGGAGTTTCAGGGTCAGACTGAGGTCTCCAGTTTTCAGTGAGTCGTCTCTCATTTCGTTTCGCTCTCTGTAAAACTGGTCTCGTGCGTCAGGCTGGTCAGAGCCGGCGTGATATTTGTGAACAGTCATCGGTGGTTCAGGTTCATAGCGCCACCACACCACTTTAGCATCTCCAGGAAGGTCTTTCTTGGTTTGAAAGGGCAGCTGGACAGACTCCGCCCCCTCCTCCACCTGCACCTGACAGACTGAGAGGACAACAAACACAACATGACACAGCAGCAGTTTTATTCAATGATTCCAAAGAGAGCTTTAATATTCAATTTTAAGCTCAAACTATGATATTTGTCTTTGCTTGTGTTGATTTCCTAAAGATGAAATATACTACACTCATTTAATTCAGGATTAATGTATTTTATTGGTTGTTCTTCATTTCTTTTGAATTGTTGCCTTCAGTCCACTTTAGTAGGATTTGAGTGGGACTGCTCACAAAGAAAGAACGAGTCTCTAATTTTTTATGGTAGTTTGACTTTAATAAAGGGAGACAAATTATCACCTCGCCTCTGTAAGTGCGCCCCAGGGTGGCTGTGGCTACACTGTAGCTGCCATCACCAGTGTGTGACTGTGTGTGTGAATGGGTGACTGAATGTAGTGTAAAGCGCTTTGGGGTCCTTAGAGACTGAGTAAAGCGCTATATAAATACAGGCCATTTACCATTTATTAACAAAAAATCCAAAAAAGAAAGATTACATAAAAATCCTCCCTTAGTTATGCTGCAATAGGTGTAGTCTGCCGGGGAGTCCCTAGAGTGTGACCAATTAGGTCCTAGAACTGAAGAAGCTTCTCAGATGAGAGGTGAAACGTCTTCAAGCAACTTAAAGAAGTCCAGATGTTTTTCCTTTCCACACTCCTTAGACTACGATGACCTGGATCACTGAGAAGCTTCACAGACAAGATCCAAACTACAACTCACATTTGATAAATGTTATCATTAATTCCAAGAACCTCTGTAACTTTGCTCTGCTTCACTTCTGTCATGGTCCGTGGTCCTGTGTCTGTGGAATGCGTGATGCTTGGGTAGCCACACCCCTGGGCTGGGCCATCACCAGCGCACCTGCTCTCCATCACGGTGATTACACGGAGATCTACTTAACCCGGCGCTGACAGATGCTCCACGCCAGTCCGTTAGTCACCCCCACAGTGGTAACCAGACTTCCACGAAAAGCGTGCATTCTCTTCTGGATTGGAACTGTGTTTTACCTGCCTACTTCTGTCCAGGTTTCTACTCGGCGTCTGCTACCTGCCTGTCCTCCGGCTCAACTGGATCTCGCGGTGCTCACCTGGCCCATTCGCCATTCCCACGGACTTCCTGCCCCACGGACTGCCACACTTCCCTCCCGAGCTCCCACGGTCCCGTTCTATCGTAAGCCCCTACTCTCAGTCCAGATGTGTTTTCCCCGCTTCCCGGCTCCCTAGTAATCATCTCCCCTTTCTGTTGCAGCCTCCCACCATCCCGATCCCAGCTTCCTCGTGTCATTGTTTCCCCGGGTTTTTAGTTTCTTGCTTTGCTCCCTAGTTTCCCCAGGTCGCCTTTCGTTGGTACAATAAAGTGTTTTTTCTGTTAGCGCGGAGTCTGCGCCTGGATCCTTTCGTGCCCGCGCACCACGGCCCATGACAACTTCAGCAGCATCAGGTAATGTTCATATGTCGATTCATGGTTTTCTACAGTTTTTGATCTACTGCAGAATATTTTTAAGGTTATCTGCTATAAAACGCCAGACCAGGAAAATCTCCTTCATGTTTTTCTGTGTTTTATCCTTAGTTACTTTCACACAAAGACATCTGCTGTGATGCTCACAATTATGATGAAGTCTCACATGTATCAGTGCTGATAAATGATCAGAATTATAATATTTCTGACTGTCTGAGGCTAAATTGAATCAAATCGGGACCTCGTGAATCGGAATCAAAGGGATTATAGAAATCAGTGATGATACCCAGCCCTAGTGAGCAGCCTGGGCCTGACAGAGTGGATGTAGGTGTGGGTAATAAGGAAAGATGAAAAGAACTACTGATAACTTTTTTGTTAAGTTAAAGTCTGATTCGTCTGAAGTTCATAGCCAGCTCTGACACGGAGCCATCGATCTCTGAATGCTGTAAAAGCAGCAGTGTATCCAGGAAACACATTATACGTGATAAATGCACTGCCCGAGTGTCCCCTCTCTTCACTGCCTTTCAGCAGCATGCAACAGCAAACAGGTCGTCAGAGGAGCCGAGATGATGATTGTGTTGATTGTGGTTGCGATGATGTGTTAATACACCTCTCTGAATGTAATAATTAGTCATTAATAACCTCTGCCTCTCTACCACAGCACGTGTGTTTATCAGCCATCGTTTTGTTGGAATGGGTCAGAAATGGCCGCCCCAGTCCTGGTTCTGAGGTTTCTTCATGTTAAAAGGGATTTTTTCCTCCCACTATCACCAAAGCACTTACCCATAGTGGGCTCATATGATTGTTGGGTTTTTCTCTGTTTTCTCTGTATTATTGAAGGAACTACCTTATAATATAAAGTGCCTTGACGCAGTTGTTGTTGTGATTTGGTGCTGTATAAATAACTGACTTAAATTCATTTCTGACCTTTGACTCGAAGCCTCACTTCTCTCTTCAGCAGGATGTTTCCCTCGCTGCTGTAGGCGGTGCAGGTGTAGACTTCGTTGTCTCTGTCTGTGGGGTATCTCAGGGTCAGACTGAGGTCTCCAGTTTTCAGCAGGTCTTCATTCATCTTCGTTCGGTCTCTGTAAAAGTGGTCTTGCTCTTCAAGCTGGTCAGAGCCGTTCTCATTCACGTGGACCTTTGTGGTCCGGATGTAAATGCAGGTCCACTCCACTTTACTATCTTTAAGCAGGTGAAGTTTGGTTTTACAGGGCAGCTGCACAGACTCGACCCCCTGCTCCACCTCCACCTGGGGGACTGAGAGGAGAAAAAAACCCAAAATGAGTTGAACACAACATCATCAGAACATTTTGTTTGGATAAAATAAAATATCTGCACTGAGAACATGTTTGACTGGCTCCAGTCTGAAATTTGTCCCATTGCTCCTCTGAGCAGGGATTGTGTTATATTTGGTGTCCTAAATAAATTATGGGAAGAAATTTATCATCTGTCTTTATCTTCACTTCCTACACCCAAACTGGAAAAGTTAATAGACCATCATGTGAGCTTGCCTACTTAATATTTCCTTTGAAGTTTCTATCTACATGTAGATTATTATGAACTTTTGTTAAATAAGATGTTATTCTGGGCTATGCAGGCCCAGACAAAACGCTCAGCATTTTAATGAGGTTGTTTTAGTGTGGAATAGAAGAAATAGAAGAAGCTCATGTGAGAGCGAGTTTCCCACAAAAAAAATCTGATCCTCAAAATCCTGGTGCTATATTTCAGGCTGACATTGACTCAAAAACATAATCATTGTAATATTTTCATTCTAAATTATTTTATAAATTTCTCTTAAACTCCTCAATTTCTTGGACTTGTGTCACATCTTTAGTTTGAGCTGATAAAAAAGTAATGGTTGAAAAACCTAACTTAATAGATCTTACTGTAGCTCACTCATCAAGTCCTGTTCACCTCAGGGACAGATTATCAGTGTGGTCACCAAGCTCTTCAATTCCTGAATCACATCTTCATCTTCTTTCTACAGCACTCACCTCTGACATAGAGCTTCACTTGTTTCTTCTTTAGGATGTTTCCCCCCTGTAGATGGTGCAGGTGTAGGTGAGTGAGTCTCTGTTTGTCGGGTATTTCAGAGTCAGGCTGAGGTCCACAGCTATCCGCAGGTTTTTGTTCATCATTGTTCGATTTCTGTAAAACCAGTGCTGTTTTTCAAGGTGGTCAGAATCGTTTTTAAACACGTGCACTATCCTGTTGGAGCTGTCAGTCCACTCTACAGTTACATCTTCATGTCGGTAAACTGTGGTTATAAAGGGCAGCTGAACAGACTCCACCCCCGAATCCACATCCACCTGTGAGACTGTGAAGTAAGAACAACAAATAATGATTTGTGCGCGCAGTCTGTCAAAGCTCCCATGTTTGACATGTAAAGTGTGTGAAGGGAGAAAAGAGTAATTCAATTAGGATTCTAGACAAATAGCTGCCGTTTGTCCTCAGGAAGGCTCCTAAATGAGAGAGAGGAGCCTGTTTTGCAAAATGCGCTGGAGGATTCCTTAAGAACATGAAACATGGGGAAACACTGGTTTGTGTTTTATTGAAAGAAAGGAGACAATTAAAACCACCTATTAACATAAATAATAGATTAAGAAGAAGAAAAAACACTGCAAGTCAAGTAAAATAAATCCGAGGTTTAGGGATGATTCAGATTATTCACAATGCAAACACGTCACACACACAACATACCTTTCTTAAAATAGCTTCTGAAGTGAACTCCAACACCCAGGATGACAGCTGCAACTACAGCCAGGACACCCAGAGCCACTGGGACACTGATGGGAACTTATAACACAATGAAAACATGAACATTACATGATGTTAACATAAAATGATTAACACTCTGTGACACTACATGTGATTTTGAATCTCTTTGCACTGACCTCCACCTTTGACCCGCTGAACCTGCAGTTCCACTCTTGACTGACCCAGTTCTACTCCAAACTTACGGATGGTGCAGGTGTAGCTGCTGCTGTCAGACAGCTGAAGCTTTGCCAGAGTAAGAGTGAGTCTCCGGTTTCCAGAGCATCAAGATTCATGGATATTCGGCCGCTGAACTGCTCAGTTTGGTTCTGAAGGTCATCGCCTTCTGGTCGACGCAGGTGCACTGTGGAGGGATTGAGGTCATAGCGACTCCACACAGCTGTGGATTCTTTTTCTTCAAAAGTGGGAAACTCACAGGGCAGGAGAACAAACTCCGCCCCCTCTAGTACCTCCACACCTGAGGCACACTGGGAAACTGAGGACACAGACATAGACAAAGACCTTATTGATCCCACATAAAAATAGAAAAAATAAATAATAAAAAGATTCAATGGTTACTATGTGCAGAAAAATAACACAAGATGTTTTATGTGCACATAAAGTGCAGGCAGTGATAGTTATACACACATATTTATAAACAGTGTTCATCCTGTTTATAATGTTACAGCCTGGCTTCTGTCGGGATGAAGGACCTGTGATAGCGCTCCGTCCACAGTCTCCGTCCACTGTCTCCATCCACAGTCTCCTTCCACAGTCTCCATCCACT